GTTCAAAGATCGACAATGCGTGACATTTTCATGATTCGGCGCTCGAGTGCTCGTGCGAGGGTATAACACACGCATAAGGTATAGCGTTTATTCAAAATCTAGCACGCGCGTCGTGCGTAAGAGCATTTTCAGACCCTCGAAATGCGTGATGTCATGCCTAATGCGTGATACTTGGTAGCTCTGTCTATCTATAATCTAGTGTGCCCTTAAAGTTGTTTTCATCTGTAAATCAGAACCATAAAGAAGTAGCGACCGGAGGACCAACAGGACTACCTTTTCTTCTGTATACTGTTGATGTTCATTTTGAGATTGTAACCTTGTAAAATACTGTTGATGATTAATATTGGGAATAGTCTATATATGAATTAGGAAAGGGGAGTGTCTTTACAGTTTGTAGCCATACCATGTAAATATCATGAATTTCCATCAATTGCTAACATCATGGACAATGTTATAATGGACCATATCATGATATATATGACTTTATTCACTATTATTACCCGTATCAGACATCTGAGCTGGTCATTTACAAAACCGTATTGCCCTAGTTTTCACTAGCAGTGGGAACGGAGGGGTATATTCTTTGTATTTTCCTTGGTCTCCCTGTGCGTATTGACTTTGCGTGTAGAGACAAGTGAAAATATACCTTGGTATTTTCCACGGTCTCGCATCCGGGCATCTTGTATTGACCGCGCCGTATCTTGTCATTTTCATTGCGCATCTATTATGCGTACGAGAACCTGTGCACTCTGCGCGCACTCTATTGTGACGTAATAATCACACCAAATGCACACTGTTTGCAGTGTAACGAAAATTGTGTCAAGCCGCGGGATGCACAGTGCTGGTTTGACAAAGTTCGTTCAGTTCTTGAGATTGTCATGGTGGATTTCTGTATTTGCTCTAGATGTCTGATTTGGATAACAATACAAATATTGACTGGCTTTACTTTCGGGGGATATCAGAAATATTGACCGCGCTAAGACCATATTGCCCTCGTCTTTCGACTCGGGGCAATATGATCTGAGCTTGGTCAATATTTCTGATATACCCCTCAAGGCCAGTCAATATTATATAATTATTGACCTGATATTACCCTTTGATTCATTTACAGATATTGTTTGACATTCTGTGACAAAGTACATTTGTTCATCCAATGAGACACTGCTTAAGCGGGACAGGATGATGACTGAAAGGACAACAATGTTTCCTGCGTCCTTTCTACTCGTATTATTACTCTTGCAAGTTGTGACGCCTTCGCTAGGTAATTTTTTCCTGTATTATAATTCTTTATATAAAAAAAGGACATAAAATGTACAAGTTGTAATTTTTTTAGACCTGTGTTTATCTTAGTTTGTCTAATGCCCATTTTGTTATGTCAATTTATTGTATTTCTTCTAGTTTTACAGAATTGATATGTTTTTTTTACCCGTGGTAGCCTAAGTTATAACTATAAGTGTCAATACAGTACTGTTTTTTTTCCTGAGGACCTTGCAATCATATCATCACCCAGCTTTAGCCAAACTACACTGATGTAGCCTTTGTGAAAGCGATCTCTTCCTACCAAGTGTTAAATTACTTTACCTGAATGGAGAGTTGCAAATGCCAATTCATGTCTTGCTACAGGACATTATATAGTGCTGTGGGGGGGGGGGGGGGGGGTGAACCCTGTACCTTGTGCTTGAACAGTGATTCATAGTCCAGCGACTTATCCAATTGACCATGATACCTCACTCCACAAGTATTTGAAGCTGAAATTTGAAAATAGGGTATCACCTTGGAAACCAGGTTGACGTTGTATAATGGTTCATTCACTTCATCACTTGACTCCCAATCCATGGGTTGACGGTTTGAATCCCAGCCCAACTCAAACCTCATTGGGCAAGACATTAATCCACTTTTGCCATTCTCAAACCAGGTGTAAATGGGTACCTGATATGCCAGAAGGCTACACGTTTGGATGCCAGCTATGACAGGGGTAATAATGAAGGAGCCTTGAGACGTGACGGACATGTGTGCTGTATAAGAAGCCACCATTATTATTACAGTCAAACCTGATTTAGCTTTAACTTTGAGAGGTAGTCACCTGTCTACAAAGACCACATTTTTTGTTTCCCTTGGAAATGGTTTCTCATTGAAACATGTACTAAAGACCACCTGACTGTAAAGACCACTTTTCTTGTCTCCCTTGGGTGGTCTTTATAACAGGTTTCACTGTGTTTATCATCTTATGTGCAAAGCAACTATAATTAGTAATAGTTCCCCTCGAACACTAATTCTGCGTCATTGTTTTATGCAGGCCTTTTACGTCTGGTGGGTGGCGGTTCTAACTACGGGAGACTGGAGTTGTTCTACAATGGAGAGTGGGGTACTGTCTGTGATGACAACTTTGGGGTACTTGATGCACAGGTGAGAGATGACAGACAATATGCGATTTTCTCTTCAGATGTTTTGATTATTATCAATAATGTACTTTAGAGGTAGAATCAGGCCGAGTATACGGCATCTGCAAGAATCTTCAGTATTGAAAGAGGCAGATTATCTCGAAGAAGAAGAAGAAGAAGAAGAAGAAGAAGAAGAAGAATTAGATATTGAATGCTGTTTTAAAATCCATTGCAATAATGATAATGATATGACTATTGTTCTGTTCTTCTTGTATACACACTAACGCTTGTGAAATGGTCTGTTTGGAGCCCAAATTGTGCTAATTTATATACTTGAACACAGAGTTAATGCCCTTCTGGCGCCTAACAGACAAAATATTGTTTTTTATCCATGGGAACATTTTAATTTCTTTAGTTATTCATTTGATAATTCTTTAATTTATTCATTAATTATATAGTCAATTTATTACTTATTCTTTAATTTCATTGATTAATTAACTTATTTATTATAACTTATTCCTTCATTCATGTATTTTGTAATTTATTTGGCGCTTTGCAGGTCGCTTGTCGTGAACTTGGTCTAGATACATTTTTGACCACTTTTTATGGAAGTGCAAGATACGGTGCAGGAACAGGTTCAATCTGGTTGGATGAAGTGGAATGTACCGGTTCAGAATTAACCTTAGATAGCTGTTCTCACAGTACTTATGGCATTACTGATTGTTCTCATTCTGAGGACGTCAGCATTAAGTGTGGGTCACTCACAGATGGAGAAGGTTTGGAAGGTACAGTAGTATCAGTCATTTGTATCATGTGCAACACATCAAGATTCTTGGCTTTTAACTCTTATCATGCCACAGGGCTAATCCCCATTGTGCCAAGCCCCAAATCCCCCCGTGCCAGGTTGTTTTGGAGATAATCTGATTAAAGCGATAAATCTATGAATAGCGAGTGCAAAACACACAGCACAATCCAATGAGCATGAACAATTATTGCTATTACGATTACGCCCTTGCACGCACATGGCACTTAAGCGATGGCTCTCTCACATGTACAAAGCACTATAACGATAGTGTGCATAAGGCTATGAGTTAATACATCTATTGAAAGGAAAAATATTATGTAATGATCGTAATGGTGAGAGCAACCAGTGGGATGGATGGCCTGCCATAATTAAGTCCAACTTAAAGTCGACCTTGTATTTGTGAAACAACCCCCAGTTCTGTAAAAGCTGCCCTTTCAAATTCTTAATAATTAGCCATTGTCTGCACTCCACGGCATCAAGTTCTTTTCCCTATGTAACCCAATGAAGATGGAGACACAGTTAACTCTACATAAGTCAAATCTGTTGACCACAAAAAATAGTTCCATTTTTACAAACTTTAACTTAGGAAATGCAAGTAACTAATGTTTTGCATAGTTTGGCCTAAAAATGATTTGACTTTATTAGGGAAATTCGACTTGAGTGACATATGTGTTATGCAGAGATCACTGTTTATGAATTCATTTTATATTCATTCATTGCAGGTAGCTTACGTTTGGAAGATGGTGGTAGTAACTACGGAAGATTAGAAGTCTTCTACAGTGGTTTTTGGGGAACTGTCTGTGATGATAGTTTTGATATATTGGATGCAAGGGTAAGAGATTGTTTCCCAAAGCCTCCTCATTTCTGTGCCATCCAGCAATATTGCTGCATCAGTTATAATGTAGTAGAATTAATACAGTGAAACCTGCATAATATATAAGCGCAGACCAAGAAGACAAAAAAAGTGGTCTTTATAGGCAGTTATTTTTTTATGTACAGGTGACTTTAGTATGGGTTACCAGGGAAATAAGAAATGTGGTCTTTACGGAAATGTTGTCTTTATAGGTAGATAGTCTTTATGTACGATTGACTTTAGTATAGGTTACAAGTGAAGCAAGAAATGTGGTCTTTATAGGCAGTTAGTCTTTATGTACGATTGACTTTAGTATAGGTTACAAGTGAGGCAAGAAATGTGGTCTTTATAGGCAGTTAGTCTTTATGTACAGGTGACTTTAGTATAGGTTACAAGTGAAGCAAGAAATGTGGTCTTTATAGGCAGTTAGTCTATATGTACAGGTGACTTTAGTATAGGTTACAAGTGAAGCAAGAAATGTGGTCTTTATAGGCAGTTAGTCTATATGTACAGGTGACTTTAGTATAGGTTACAAGTGAAGCAAGAAATGTTGTCTTTATAGGCAGTTAGTCTTTATGTACAGGTGACTTTAGTATAGGTTACAAGTGAAGCAAGAAATGTGGTCTTTATAGGCAGTTAGTCTTTATGTACAGGTGACTTTAGTATAGGTTACAAGTGAAGCAAGAAATGTGGTCTTTATAGGCAGTTAGTCTATATGTACAGGTGACTTTAGTATAGGTTACAAGTGAAGCAAGAAATGTTGTCTTTATAGGCAGTTAGTCTTTATGTACAGGTGACTTTAGTATAGGTTACAAGTGAAGCAAGAAATGTTGTCTTTATAGGCAGTTAGTCTTTATGTACAGGTGACTTTAGTATAGGTTACAAGTGAAGCAAGAAATGTTGTCTTTATAGGTAGATAGTCTTTATGTACGATTGACTTTAGTATAGGTTACAAGTGAAGCAAGAAATGTTGTCTTTATAGGCAGTTAGTCTTTATGTACAGGTGACTTTAGTATAGGTTACAAGTGAAGCAAGAAATGTTGTCTTTATAGGCAGTTAGTCTTTATGTACGGGTGACTTTAGTATAGGTTACAAGTGAAGCAAGAAATGTTGTCTTTATAGGCAGTTAGTCTTTATGTACAGGTGACTTTAGTATAGGTTACAAGTGAAGCAAGAAATGTTGTCTTTATAGGCAGTTAGTCTTTATGTACGATTGACTTTAGTATAGGTTACAAGTTAGGCAAGAAATGTGGTCTTTAAAGTAAGGCTGTGCACAACAGTGTAATGAGGTACCCAAGTACACTCCCAGGCTCACAAGCAAATACTCGAATATGCGGACGCCATGTTTTTTTATAATTTTTTTGATTTTTTTTAAAAATTTTGATTTTTTGATTTTTTTGATTTTTTTTTTTTTTGCCACTACCATACCACTCGGCAGTTTCCCAGGTCCGTCGCCGAAAATGCACGCAATTTTATTTTGAGTTGCAGTTGAAAGCGCCGATTTAATAAGAATAATAACAGTAAACAATGCCGTTTTAAAAACCAAAGATGGCAGAATAATCCAAACAGAAATCTGGACATTTTTGTCCCAGTTTCTGAAAGGTGAGTTTGACAGTGCTTGAGTTAGGAAACATTTTTACCGACGGTACATTGCCAGCGGCAGCCGCTCTCCTCGGTACGGGTAAGCGTGGGCCTGGACATTTTTTTTTTTTTTTTTTTTTTTGCGGCCGAATATTCGGGTACGAGAATTCGGGTACGAGAAATCGTACCCGAGTAGTTGTCAACCGTGCGGGTACTCGAGCATTCGACTACCCGTCGCAGCCTTACTTTATAGGCAGTTAGTCTTTATGTACAGGTGACTTTAGTATAGGTTACAAGTGAGGCAAGAAATGTGGTCTTTATAATTATACAGGTTGTCGCTAAAACAGCTTTCACTGTATATGTTGTATTTGACATTTCATAAATTTCATCAGTATTTGTATCATGATTATATATTTGGCAATATTTTTCAGCAAGAAAAAAAATCCTGTTTTGAAGAACCGTAGTGAAAGATAATTTCTGTTATAAGAACTACCTTTTTCTGTAATGCTAATTCAATAGGTCGCCTGCCGTCAGCTTGGCTTGGATACATCATCCATAAACTACTATACTGATGCAAGATTTGGTTCTGGGACTGGGACAATCTGGTTGGATGAAGTAGACTGCTCTGGATCTGAATCAAACTTGAACGACTGTAATCACGATACATATGGTACACATGATTGCACGCATTTGGAGGATGTTGGCATTTCGTGCGGAGCAAGTAAGTCAAAATTTTGTGTTTTGAACTTCAGAAAGAGAAGACATGGTTGAAGTTTGGAAATCAATGGAGAATTGTGTATGAAATTATAATGTTTTGTTTTAGAATTACAGTATTATTTATCACCACAGTCACTGGATTCTAATACTATTCTGCACATTACAGTGCACATTCTCCACTCCCTGGGGAGCTTTCCGGCTAGTCACATATTTTACAGGCGCGCACATGCGTCCCTGCATCCTACCGGGTACCCAATTAACACCTGGGTGTAGAGGAGCAATGTAGATAAAGGGCTTTGCTCAAGGACATAAGTGCCATGCCGGGGCTTGAACCCACGACCTTTCCATTTCCACATTAATAGCATTGACATTCCATAAATAGCATTGTAACATAGTATAAGAAGTTTTAAAATGACTTGGTAACATTGTTGAAGGTTGATGAAAAAAATTGCTTAATTTTTGTATAAAATGTTACTTACTATATTCCTTCTACTGTAAACCCTCTGACATGCAAAAAATCATGACAAAAATCTCTAACCACAAAGATATCTATGGTTTTCTCTGAAGGCGTTGATGTATGACACCCTCTAACAGTGATTAACAGTAAATTCTCCCAACCATTTTTGAATTTTCCCAACCGTTTTTCCATGAAAAAAAAGACATTAAACAGGCTAGAAAAAAGTCTGTCAACACTTAAATGTCTGGAATGGAATGCAGAGCCATTTTATTGCTTTGTGAGATTTCCATTCACCTAACATGTGATTAAATTCGTCCTTGTTTTCACGAAGTGACGGTAGTGAGGAAATCGTAACGCAAAGTGAATGCAATTTTTTTTCACTACCGTCACTTCGTGAAAACAGCGACGAATTGTTATAATATAGTTGGGAGAATTAAGGAATCGATCAGATCAGTTTTTCCCAATTTGTACCATGAATAATGGTCCGTTTTCACTCAAATTTTCAGATTATCTTTGATTGTACATCTAGCATTGAAGTCACTACCTATAGTTGGGAGAATTAAGGAATCGATCAGATCAGTTTTTCCCAATTTGTACCATGAATAATGGTCCGTTTTCACTCAAATTTTCAGATTATCTTTAATTTTACATCTAGCATTGAAGTCACTACCTATAGTTGGGAGAATTAAGGAATCGATCAGATCAGTTTTTCCCAATTTGTACCATGAATAATGGTCCGTTTTCACTCAAATTTTCAGATTATCTTTAATTTTACATCTAGCATTGAAGTCACTACCTTAGCACCACTATCTCTTATCTGAAAAATGTTACAAAGTCCCTTTAAAGCTCTATATTACAAATGTGTATGGTCCGATAAGTGTACAATCTGTTTTCCACTTTCTTGGTTACAATATATTTGTTATTAAATTTATGTCTGCTGTATGTTTCTTTGAAGCAAACATTGGAGGCACTACATCATCATCTTTGTCTGGTGTCGGAAGTTGGATAGGTGGTGCTATATTCATCATAGCGATATGCGTGGTGGCTGTGGTGTTCAGACGGAGGCGAATGCACGCGATGCGTCAACGTCAAAATACCAGGTTCATCCAGCCACCTGTTACTACTACTGTCCATGTCACTGCAAACCCCAATGCCCCGGGGACCACACCTATGCCTACTTACCACCACACCCCTACACCTCCGCACCAACCTGGCGGATACCCCACTCAGACCTTTACACCAACTTACCCGCCCCCATCAACAGGAGGTGCTCCACCGGCGAACCCTTACCCTGTGCAGGCTTTCCCACCTGCTGCGCAGTACCCAGCACAACCCCCACCAGGTACCACACCCTACCCTCCACAAGCCGGTGCTCCTTACCCACCACCATCTACAGCAGGTGCACCACCCTACCCGCCCCAGTCGACACCAGGTGCACCACCCTACCCGCCCCCGTCTGCAGCTGGTGCACCACCCTACCCGCCCCAATCGACACCAGATGCACCAGCCTACCCGCCCCCGTCTGCAGCAAGTGCACCGCCATACCCGCCCCCAGGATCTGCACCCTACCCTCCCCAGCAACCTGTTGATGCATCGGCTGCGTACCCTCCTCAAGGTGGTAACGTTCCTTTAGAAGACCTCCCCCCTCCACCCTCTTACGATGACACTGTCAGGCAGTAGTAAAAAGGGTTAGTTTCCAGACCCGTTTCATCGTATCCTAGTACCTCTGCTCACATGTTCTCCATATAGAATTTATCAATATTGTATCCTTTTATATTCCCTTACATACTACCGGTATACATGAGATGTGTGCAGGGTGTGAATGTCATTAAGGTAAATGTTATTCATTTCATTAGCTTGTGTAGTGAAAAGCTAGAGAAGTAGTAAGCTATGACTGTTGGAAGTTTAGGTTGGAGCTTGTGGTGCGGATGTAGTCCAAGGCAGGTCTTAACTTCATGATACAAACAGAAGCTAGAGGAACAAAGCGCACACAAATATATTGTTCTGACTGGCTGCCAGAAATAACAAAAAACTAGCCACACTTTCGTTAAGCTTCAGACCTATGTCGTAGATGGCATTGTTTCTGATGCATTACGACAATAATTGGAATAAGAGCTGCATACTTTCTCGAGTCAGCAACAAGTCCACCAGATGGATAAGTGAGCCCGTAAATATATCCACTTAACGTGATACATCCATGAACAGAGACTTAGGACCATACACACTTTCTCTAATGTACAATCCCAATTTACGATATCGTCGTCTTGCCTCAGCACCAGTGCCAGCTATGACTTGGGTCTAAAGAAGCTCGCAGCACAAATGTAAACGCTTACCAAAACGGGTAATTTTTCTACTTAATTGTGAGAGAAAAATCCCCCAAATGCTATCCCAGACTCCATCTGGTAGTAATGAAAGAACTCAAAGGGTCATTCATCAGAGTAAATTCTGTGTGCACCAAATTTTATGCAATTGTGTTTGACTTTTCTACTTCCAAATGCTTTCCCATTATATAGGGTACAATTGTGGTATTCAGTAGGTCTCAAGTTTCTCTTTACAAAAGTTTGGTCTAAGGCTGAAATTTTGAATGTAGACTATGAGCATGGGACTTGTAAACATACAGAGCATAAATAGATTAACTAACAAGTCAAGATTATTGTACATGTACAGGACCATTGATTTACTTTTCAAGCATAACCTTTTTCTTGTCATCCCATGTACATCAACAAACTGGTATTTGTTAGCAATAACTGAATAATATTTACCCCAACGTTTTGAAAGGTAAACCTTTGATACAACAACTTAAGGAAAGAAAATGACCTTGAATACCAGATATTGGTTATTTAGTGATTGTCAAACAAGTGCAAAAATAGGGAAAATGTATTAACCCCTGTCATGTTACAGCATTTTATTCAAAACATACAGGTATTTAAGTGTGTCAGATATTGGGCTCATTTTCCTAGCTCTATTTATATGCCAAAATGTTAACTGTGAGTTGTCACCAGCAATAGACATTAAAGGGTGTGGTTTAAATTGGTCAAGTAATATATTGTTGGGCACAAATATGTCCCTACAGCACAGAGAGAGAGAGAGAATAGCACAAGTAATGTAAATTATGCTGTGTAAGATATTTTCAAGGAGTTCCTCAGGGAACATACAAAATTGTGCCTCTTTTTGTTATCAGTAATATGACATATATGTATCTGGCACTGACACTGTAATGGTATGTTACAAGAGGATGTAAATACTTAGCATAATACATGAATTTACACTTGAATTGAGTACATTTATTATGTATGTTTTAAAGTCATTTAATTCACTAAGGAAGCAACATGCAAGGGTAGAGAAATCTTTTGAAAACTTAAAAAGAAAAGGAGCATTGTCATTCTAAATTTCCCTGTGAAACTGCCACTGTTATTAACATGCCTACCTCCAAGATTACTTAATACATCTTCTTTCATGAAACAAAAATAAGTTTTTATGCCTCCGTTACGAAGTAGCCGGAGGCATTATGCTTTCGGGTTGTCCGTCCGTCCGTCCGTCTGTACGTACGTACGTCTGTACGTACGTACGTCCCGTTCTCGTGATCGCGTTATCTGAAGAACCAATTGATGGATTCCTGCCAAACTTTGGTCATGTATGTATCTTGCAGAGCCGATGAACTGATTAGATTTTGGGGCCATGAGGTTAAAGGTCAAAGGTCACAGGGCTCATTATGTATGCAAAAACAGCTCGTGATCGCGTTATCTGAAGAACCGATTGATGGATTCCTGCCAAACTTTGGTCATGTATGTATCTTGCAGAGTCAAAGAACTGATTAAATTTTGGGGCCATGAGGTTAAAGGTCAAAGGTCACAGGGCTCATTATGTATGCAAAAACAGCTCGTGATCGCGTTATCTCAAGAACCGAGTGATGGATTGCTGCCAAACGTAGGTCATGTATGTTACTTGCAGAACCGATGAAGTGATTAGATTTTGGGGTCACGAGGTCAAAGGTCAAAGGCCACAGCGCACATTATGTATGCAAAAACAGCTCGTGATTACGTTATCTCAAGAACCGATTGATCGATTGCTGCTAAACTTAGGTCATGTATGTTATTTTCAAAGCAGATGAACTGATTAGATTTTGGGGTCACGAGGTCAAAGGTCAAAGGCCACAACGCACATTATGTATGCAAAAACAGCTCGTGATCGCGTTCTCAAGAACCGATTGATGGATTCCTGCCAAAATTAGGTCATGTATGTTACTTGCAGAGCCAATGAACTGAGTAGATTCTTGGTTCATAAGGTCAAAGGTCATGGGCTCATTATGTATGCAGAAATAGCTTGTGAACACATTCTCATTAGAACTGACAGATGGATTACTATTTAACTCAGGACATCTTGCAGAGCCAATGAACTGAGTAGATTTTAGGGTCATGAGGTCAAAGATCAAAGGGTCATATATGTATATGAGAAATTGCTTGTAATCACGATATTCTGAGAACCTGTTAATGGATTACAATTGAACTTAAATTCGAAAAATGTGTTCTGTTTTGGTTTGTAAAATTGCTCTATGACGGAGGCATCGTTTTCGACTGCGCGCAGTCGAATTCCATCTAGTTTGTAGCACAAATGATAATTCTTTCAAAAAGTTTCAGTCTGTCTGATATTATGTGTGCTATTACCACAGGTAATACATTTGAATTAGTATATATCCAAGACATTTTCTCAGCACCTCAGGTTACAATGGCGAAACATTAACATCCTGTATCCTTTGGTTGTTTATTTATGTAGGGAAGGTGTCTTTTACATGAGAAGGTTGCCTCAAAGTATTTTTTCTCCTAAAAAGAAATTTTAAAAAGAAATTCTTGTTCTATCCCAGTGAAAGTCTATTCCAGTATTTCAGCACTTAAATATCATTTGCCCCATAAAGCTCAGTCACTCTATGAGTATAATAAAATTATTAAAAAAAACACACCATTGTTTGTATAAATATACAGGCATTTTCGTTTTTAACAAGCCAACTAAGCTACACAATGTACTTTGTTGAGCTGATATTTAGGGCTGAATATGTACAGATATATCTGACTAGAATCATTGACATATTTCCAAAATTTATTGAAAGAATTTTGTTACATCCAGATGTGCATGTCAAACTTCTAAAACCTTTCGAGGACTCATTATCCATGGATGTATTGTACACACTTTAAATGGTAAAAACAAGTTTGGATGCAAAAACAAACAATTTTGGCTGTTTATAACTGTTTTCTAAGAAATAAGCCATCGGATGAGATAATAAGGAACTACTTCAATCCAGTGAAAGACAAACTACATATATGATATATGTATATATGTATACATATTTTTTTTATATTTTTTTAAAAACTCTTTATTTTATTTTCACATTCTGATAAAAATCACAATAACAAACATTTACAATACAAAGTCAATTCCAACAAATAACACAACAGAACAGAAGTATCAAAATGTGGGGGGACAAACAAAGGCTAAAGGCCTATCAAAGGCTTGTCCCCAAGCTATATAAATAATTAAATATAAAGTAAGTGGTACAACAGGAAGAAAAAGAAAAAGAAAATATATATATTGAGCTAATTCAATCTCTTCATATATATTATATATATGAAGAGATTGAATTAGCTCTTTACTCTTAACCCGTTGACTGCTGAATTTACTCATTGCCATAGGCTAACTACAGGGACTACTCAGTTCCAGTAGTCTGGGGGTTAACATAATTATGTTGTTGAATATTTGGGCTGAATTTTTATAAACTTTTAAGCTGAACTTGGCATTTTTCTTGGCAATTGTTAGTCTTCAGTACTACATTGTATTGTATATTTTACATATGAAAGCTCAAAAGTTGTCTGTATAACTAGATTGAGCATTAGGCTGTATTGTATGTGTTGCATCTGTATATATATATAATTATATCACTTTATATTAAATTTGATAATAGAATCTTTTCGTTGACATTCATATACATATATCTATATATGCATATGTGATGAGAGGCGTTTTAATGTTTTTAACAATTAATGGTACTATATTAGTCATGTATTCTTGTGATTGGTAGTAATATGATCGCCCACTTCATCTGTACCATCATGTTATTACCAATTACATATGCTCTGTCCAAAACCAGAAGAGCATTTACTCTGTGTTAGTATAGGAATACTTCATCTGTACCATCATTTTATTACCAATCACATATGATCTGTTCAAAACCAGAAGAACATTTACTCTGTGTTAGTATAGGAATACTTCATCTGTACCATCATTTTATTACCGATGCCATATGATCTGTTCAAAACTAGAAGGGCATTTACTCTGTGTTAGTATAGAAATACCTCATCTGTACCACCATTTTATTACTGATCACATATGATCTGTTCAAAACCAGAAGAGCATTTACTCTGTGTTAGTATAAGAATACCTCATTTGTACCATCATTTTATTACCGATCACATATGATCTGTTCAAAACTAGAAGGGCATTTACTCTGTGTTAGTATAGAAATACCTCATCTGTACCACCATTTTATTACTGATCACATATGATCTGTTCAAAACTAGAAGGGCATTTACTCTGTGTTAGTATAGGAATACCTCATTTGTACCATCATTTTATTACCGATCACATATGATCTGTTCAAAACCAGAAGAGCATTTACTCTGTGTTAGTATAGGAATACTTCATCTGTACCATCATTTTATTACCGATCACATATGATCTGTTCAAAACTAGAGGGCATTTACTCTGTGTTAAAGTATAGGAATACTTCATCTGTACCATCATTTTATTACCGATCACATATGATCTGTTCAAAACTAGAGGGCATTTACTCTGTCCTAAAGTATAGGAATACTTCATCCTAAAGTATAGGAATACTTCATCTGTACCATCATTTTATTACCAATCAAATATATGGTCTGTTCAAAACTAGAACAGCATTTACTCTGTGTTAGTATAGGAATACTTCATCTGTACCATCATTTTATTACCAATCAAATATATGATCTGTTCAAAACTAGAAGAGCATTTACTCTGTGTTAGTATAGGAATGCTTCATCTGTACCATCATTTAATTACCGATCACATATGATCTGTTCAAAACCAGAAGAGCATTTACTCTGTGTTAGTATAGGAATACTTCATCTGTACCATCCTTTTATTACCGATCACATATGATCTGTTCCAAACCAGAAGAGTATTTACTCTGTGTTTAAGTATAGGAATCCTTCATATGTACCATCTTTTTATTACCGATCACATATGATCTGTTCAAAACCAGAAGAGCATTTACTCTGTGTTAGTATAGGAATACCTCATCTGTACCACCATTTTATTACTGATCACATATGATCTGTTCAAAACTAGAAAGGCATTTACTCTGTGTTAGTATAGGAATACTTAATCTGTACCACCATTTTATTACTGATCACATATGATCTGTTCAAAACTAGAAGGGCATTTACTCTGTGTTAGTATAGGAATACCTCATCTGTACCACCATTTTATTACTGATCACATATGATCTGTTCAAAACTAGAAGAGCATTTACTCTGTGTTAGTATAGGAATACTTAATCTGTACCATCATTTTATTACTGATCACATATGATCTGTTCAACACTAGAAGAGCATTTACTCTGTGTTAGTATAGGAATACTTCATCTGTACCATCATTTTATTACTGATCACATATGATCTGTTCAAAACTAGAAGAGCATTTACTCTGTGTTAGTATAGGAATACTTCATCTGTACCACCATTTTATTACTGATCACATATGATCTGTTCAAAACCAGAAGAGCATTTACTCTGTGTTAGTATAGGAATACCTCATCTGTACCATCATTTTATTACTGATCACATATGATCTGTTCAAAACTAGAAGGGCATTTACTCTGTGTTAGTATAGGAATACCTCATCTGTACTACCATTTTATTACTGATCACATATGATCTGTTCAAAACTAGAAGGGCATTTACTCTGTGTTAGTATAGGAATACCTCATCTGTACCACCATTTTATTACTGATCACATATGATCTGTTCAAAACTAGAAGAGCATTTACTCTGTGTTAGTATAGGAATACTTAATCTGTACCATCATTTTATTACTGATCACATATGATCTGTTCAAAACTAGAAGAGCATTTACTCTGTGTTAGTATAGGAATACTTCATCTGTACCATCATTTTATTACTGATCACATATGATCTGTTCAAAACTAGAAGAGCATTTACTCTGTGTTAGTATAGGAATACTTCATCTGTACTATCATTTTATTACTGATCACATATGATCTGTTCAAAACTAGAAGAGCATTTACTCTGTGTTAGTATAGGAATACTTCATCTGTACCATCATTTTATTACCAATCACATACGTATTGTCTGTCCATAGCCAGAAGGGCATTCAATCCGTGTTAAAATATTGGAGTTAACACCCTTCTCGTTCCAAGCAGTTGGTTTATCTATGGATATGTAGATGTATAAAAATCTATATTTTGAGTGTAAATAATTATTTTTAATGGAACAAAGTATACTTTATATGTTATAATGTATACCTAACTGATTTATTGTAGTATGATAACATAAAATAATCTTGTAGTATTGAAGTGTACCAATCAGCTGAGAAAAAAAATGTACATACCGGTACCGGTAGTTAGAATGAATAAAATCAACTTTAATTTTTTTCTCCACCTGGCATTCTATAGATAAACTATTAAGAAGAAAGTAAAGGATAACATTAAACCCCACGAATAGTGCTCACACCGAAAGTCGGACTTGGGTTCCATGTGAGCCTTAATCTATGTGAGTGCGTAATTGTGCATGAACTAGTCTACATGGAACCCCTTACACTAACAGCAAAATGTGTTTTGGTGATGGGTAAAAGTAATCATCAAATCCTTTCAGAACAGATAGTAGCAATAACTGACACTGCTATCTTCTCTACCTGCTTGTAGCCAAGGCTAGACTCGACAAACATAAATGCCAGGTTCTCGCAAACTGTATTACTAGAACTTTAGATTGATTGTAAGTAGATAGTACTAGTGATGGTGGTTATAAAGTTAACAAAAATGCAAATTCTGAATTCAATGTCTCTCTTCGATATTTATGATATAGACTTAAATTTGTATTTATAATAGTACAAATGGATTAAAAAAAATAACACTTTTTTAAAAGTATATCATTCAGGTATGTGATGTAGATGCATTTTAAAAGATTGCTCAAGTAGTTTGAAATAATGTTTCAATTTGATTGTTGTCTAACATAGGATGTACTGATTCTTTGCTTTTTGTTGCAGTTGAGTGCAGGGGGAGAAAATCAAGTTATATTTAATTTTTTCATTTCTTAAACATTTTTTTCTTCATTTATGATGAGATTTCAGGGATGTCAATTTTTGTATATTGCCTCTTTTCATATTAAAATTATGCAGTCAGATTCTAGGTTTAGGAGTAAAAGTAATTTTCATCAGCTTAGAGCAACAAGGGCATTAACTCTGTGTTAAAGTATGTGAGATAACGTCCTTCTGGCTTTAAACAGGCATTTTCATATTCGGTGCCTACTTTGTATACAGAGCGAAAGGATTGATAAAAGTACTAGTAATACACAGTGTTAGTCAGGCTCGTTGTTTTTGATGAAAATGCTTTTCTGTTTCATGGTGCATCAGGGACCCATTTCACAGAGCCTTTTTTCAATGACAAATGATACAAATCAGAGAAAAATCTGCTGATAACCAATCAGAAGCAAGGATTTCACTAGCTTATAACAAAAACTGTCATTTGTCACTGATGACAAGTTTAGTGAAATGAGGCCCTGGTTAGTTTACTCCCAGCAATAATAAAACTATTCAAAAGTTCTTTGATGCTACAACATCACTTAGCGGCCCAATCTTATCCTCTTGCCTTTCACTTCAATGTGCCTGTTTCATTTTTGGAATTCTTTTAATTTGTTTGAAATTTTTTTGACATGAATAGAACCTTTTCAGTGAAGTCGGGAGGCAATTTTGACCGCGTGATGGCCATATGTCGGCAATCAAGCTGTGACACAATGTATTCATCAGAAAGAAATCCTCTCAAGAATTCATCGTCTAATTATTGTCTCTGTGGAGCCAGAAGGGTGTTAAATCATATACTTTGACACAGAGATGATACCCTTCTGGCTCTCAACAGACGGAATATGTAATATATGCAATGCTCATCTTCATATGTTGGTTTTGCGTTTAATCTTGGCAAATATAATCAACACTGTGTATTACCATAAATGATAGACATCTATTACAAGGTGTTTAATGAGAATTATGAAAGGAAATATTTTACTTTATTTTTGGCATGTATATATTATATATTGGTTAAATGGAATGAAAATATTAGATATAGGATTTGGGAAGGTATGAAGTTACACAAGCACCCTTAATCAACTCTGTGTGCGTGATTTGATTATTTTTCTTCAAAATTCTATGATACTATGTCAAATTGTCCTTATTTTATCTACTGTATCCTACGTGAATAAAGTTTTTATGATTCATATATCAATTTATATCATTGTCAAAGTGTTTAATTTATTCTGTCTTGAGAACTAGGAGTGGTTCTAGAAGAAAACTTTTTGGGGATCGGACTGGGGCTCTTAAAAGTTATGCCATGCAAATTATATTTTGTTTATTAATATAATTTAATTTATTTATTTATTAAAATATTTATTATTATTTTGTCTCGCCTGAGTTTGTATTAAAGCTATCAGCTAAAGTTCATTGAGGGTGTATTCTCCTTCCTCTGTTAAGGTTCTAAATCGAGATAACACTTTACTGTCTCGAGGGTATATGTAATTGATATTCATTTATTAAGTGTAGAAGCTGCAATATATAATGCGCTGCAATTAGACCTCCCTATGTGCTTCAACCATACTATCAATAGAACCAATGTAAACATACATGAAGGCTCTCAGTTTCAATTTAAAGCGTTAAAAGATGGCGGTTCTCTATTTTGTATAAAGTTGTATAAGTTAGTCCACAGTTTGGGATATTTACATCGATCTCCTAACGTTATTTTCGTTTTATATAATGGGTTTGCAATGCAATATCAGAGTATCTGCGCAGGTTGTGGCTATTGGGTTTTGTGAGATTTGAGATGATAACCATTTTGTTTACCCAGGGAGGCCTCATCAGCATCGGTCCAGAATCCCTGTTTACCAACTATTTCATTCACCTGGTAAGGCTGATATGCATTACATAAATACAGTTAACAACTGAACTATTCACACCCCTTGTAAATTTGATGTTTTGTTTGTGTTTTTATAAGTCTAGGATGAAAGGTGGACTGGTTGAATTAGGACCTTTGTTGAATTCTTTTAGATGTAAGCTTTAATATATCACATTCTCAAGAAACGTAAATCGTGAAATATCTATTTTCACAAACTTAAAAAGTTGCAATTAGTGAGCACTATTTTTTTTTGGAGGGCCCTCAACAATTTGAAAAATCGCACCGCCCTTAAGCACCGGGAAGGGGGGGGGGGGGGGCATCTCCAAAAAAGGTAAAATTAACGTGTTTTTATACTATGTTTTTTCAGGGGTGCTACCCTCCCCTGGATCCGCCACTGGCACATACATCCATCAATACGCAGAAGACCCGGGGTCTCATGATATATTTATGGCGGGCGATCAATTGGAGTTTACTCGCATCTTGAAAAACTAATCACCAGCCGCTGATAATAATTAATTATCTACGAATCCGGACTTTAGCCCTGGCACGTCTTAACAACACATAATCATTTACGAAACCATTTAGATCATTTAGACTTTAGATACAGACTGAAATAGGGAGATTGTGTAAGACTTAAGCAGGTAGGTAACACAAGGTTCCTGGATCGACATAGTCTATATACTCTTAAGATTCGATAAGATGGACTTGATAGCAGAAATGTCATTCCAATATATGCTCCAGGAGGTGTTTCGCTTTAGACAGTTTCCTTTTAATAACTTGTAACCACAAAATATCAGATCGGGACAAATACATCATATTAATTGGAGATTACTCAGACGACAAGGAAGATTGAAAGGATTTTAAAAATAAAGTTGGATATATATTCAGAAGAGGAACTTCGAGCTAAGGTAACATTATTTGAATATCCGGTAACCTTGGATGTGTTTCTGAGGGAGGAGAGAATAAAATGGCGCGCCCCAATAACCTACAAATCCACTGTTCAACGTTGGTCTTTCTTCTGGCTACTTCTCTCGTCTTTATAAAAGCGAATGGTAAGATGTTTCCAATATACTTAACTTTAATATTAAACACTTTATCTTCTAGAGCTATGTGATTAAAAGTGCATTTAAGTTATTTTAATGGTTATGAAATCAATGTAAAAGCAACAGCAACGACATTAATGCATAAATACATGTACAACAATACTGTGATTTGAAAGACAAAATTTAAGACAAATTAGTCTTCCACTTTGTAGCTTTCTTATAAAAAACATTTAAAACCTTTAGAAGTGTTGAGTAATTCGTAACGTTCATGAAAAATTGAACTTTACATATAAGAACGTGTTTGAGCGAAACATTGTCTGACTGTAATGAGAGAGATATTGGAAACAAAATCTTCCGAAAACGAAAATGAAGTTAATACATTATATGAGAAAAGATGAAATTACAGCTTTAAAAAAATACGGAAAAAAAAATCGGGAAAAAATCGCAGCGGAGGAGATATAGAGCAATTTGATGATAAAAAGACCTTTCAAATAATTATCGTCGTAAAAGAAAAATGAATGTCAAATTGGAATCAAGTCCGTAAAATAGTTGTAGCAAATCAAATCAAATGAAGAAACGAGAACATTGAGATAAGTAGAACGTAATTTATGATTTTCTTTAAAATGTAGATTTGTTTTTGTTTTGTTTTATAATCCGTATAAAAGAACATAAATAACAATACGGTTGGATCATTTTATTAAGGGCCATTGATATAATGGATATGTCCTTCCTAGTTGACCAGAAAGAGAGAAAGAAAAACAGAAAGCAAGAAGGGAAGTAAGAAAGATAGAGAAATGGAAATCCTTCTCGGGTTGAAGATCGTAGCAATGACAAATTTGCATAACAGATTATGATGCTCATTAAGCACTTTATAATCGCCTTAAATTACCCTAGTGCAAATGTGTAAAACAAACTTAATCAAAGACAGTTTTTGTTGTAATATACTATTTCATATTTTGACACAACAATACAAGAATGCAAAGCGATGTTAAGAAACGTTATAATAATGATTTAATTAATTAATATCGCGTCATAACACAACAGCAGATATAAATTTTTGTTTAAATAGGGAAAAAATAATGACATGACTGGGGATTGAGAGGAGATTAAACCATTAATGTAAGTTATATAAAGTTAGCAAGAGTTGGTGACAGTTTGTGTTAAATCGGATAATGAATAAGATAGTTTTCATGGCAATTTGGTCTCAATGATGTAGTAATGAACTATTTCAGCATTAGGTTTATAAAAAAAAAAGTTCAAATGGCGCTTTATTCATTTCATGATGAAACGATCTGCCATCCATAGGCTATGGGAGCTGCAACAATTACAAACTCTGCATTTGATAGCTTTTCTTTCTTTTTCATCACACATGTAATTGTTATTATTGTAAATGAAACATATTTACCATTTTCTGTTTTTGTTTTTCATGTTTAATGGTTCCGAAATAAACTGAAGTTATTTGACTTCAGTTGAAAGAGGAAGCTGTTTATTTACATATTTTCTATGTCCTGACGTGAGTTATTTGATAAATATTAAGAAAAGAAACAATTTTAGTATAACAGCGAACTGACAAGTATTAATGACGTATATGGCAAATCCTGGTCGATTATCCATAGGGGTTTTCATAATTATTATAATCGTATACCTTCCTTGTTCTATATCGGGTTCATCTAAATATCTGTTTGTTTATTTGCTATTATTAGCCCAGGCAAATTATTAATGTTTAGTTCCCCGTTTAACATGTTTTAACAAGTTTAGCATTCCTCTAAAACTGAACTAAACAAATTAGTCATGATCAGTAAGATTTACGAAAAAAACAAACCTAAAGCAATTTCAGTATTATTTTCATCCGACAATGATTGCTATTTCTACAAGAGGGTATTGTAATTTCACTTGAGTTGATTTTTCGAAAGTCTTTGCCATCGTGTTATAGTGAATGATTTGGTTTAAAGACCGTCAATACTACTCGGCCAGAAGGGATTAGACCACACAGCGAGGTCACTGACAGGTGGCTATCTCATTAACTCAGCTCTCAACTAACATAAGAAAAAGAGGATCATGGGGGACCAACAGGCACCGATTGGGGAAGTTTTTTTTATATAGAGGGAGCAAGTAGCTACAAGTAGGACAGTGAGGCTTAAAAGAATGAAAAAAGGAGAAGAAACTGAAACAGAGCGATGATGGGCGACGGGGTATCCCTTTGTCACATTCTCTAGCCCCCCCCCCCCCCTCCCCGCAGACGAATCACGCAATCGGCACAAATACATACACACAAACCCTAACACACACCCATACACACCCGCACCCACACTACACACACACCCACCCACATGTACATATATTTGCATGTCATTACCGCTCCTATTATGATGTGTCATGCGGTACTGTGTAGGTTATTTCTCTTGTGTAATATCAACAGAAGAATCGTATCTTTACTAATGGATTAACCATTAACCAGACTTTTTCGGTCGGTACCATTCGCTGATGGTGTACTCAATTAAAGGCACTACATGAAACAAGACAAAACAAAATGTTAGTGTTCCTAGCTTAGCTTATTCGTATACATCAACAGTATAGGAAGGCCTGAGACTCATATATTTAGAAATCGGTGTATGGAGGATTATTTTAATGGTTTGGCCGGGCTTTTTCTCATTAATATACCGTAGTTATTGTTTATAGAGTCTGACATCGATCCCTTTAATTAACAAAAAATTTAAGAAATGTGTAAAAAACATTAAAAAACGAAACGCGTGTTTAATTAGATTTTTTTCAATATATTTCAAAGAACCCCTCTTAGTTTTAAAACATTGAATAAAATTCATTTTATCTTCTATAATAACTTATGACATTTTACAAATGGATTGTTATCATGTTATTGTACAATAATTATATAGTTCTATAATCATTTTTCTTTGCCTGTACATTGGACTTCTACAGAGTTTATCTTTTGTTGACGTCAATGGCCTATTTTTCAATTATAAATTTAAGGTCAGTCACTTTGTTAAATAAACCTTTATCGAATTTAAACTTATTTGTAATGAAGATATTTTAGATCATTCTCTGATTAAAAGTTGAATTCCGCTAAAAGAGTGTGCGATTCGTGCAGGAACGTCGCTGACAATCTCGAGTGTATTAAGGGGAGGAGTCTTACGTACTAGCTTACCGACAATATGAAAGACAATATTCCACCAAGAAAGAAAACAAGTTCCCAGCTTTTTAAGTTCACAAAGACAGAAGCAAGGAAAGAAGGAGATGGAAAGTACAAAAAAAGTCGTCAACCTCTCCGATTAGTAGGGTTGGGCTCAATAATAGTGACTGATATGTCGACATTAAATTTAGAATAGGGCGTCAAAAGAGCACGCTTCCGCCAATCCTTCGTACCAAACTCTATTCACATGTTAAACCAATTCGTAAAGAGCTGATAATAAACGATAGCATTTCAGTTACCCACAATTGTTATTATACATACATGTACATATGATTTTAATACGACCACAATGATATAACTGCATATCTATCCATTTTTACGAATAATGATGGCGTTGATAATAATAATAATAACAATAGCAATAATGATCATAATTATTTGAATTTATAATTTGTTCTCATAAAGCTTAATACATCAATGATGATTAAATAGCCTGTTAAAAGCAGTGGAGAGGTATTTTTAATCATCTAATCAGAAAAGAAGTTTAACAATTTTGGATGTCCTAAAAATTATTTCTGTGAAAGGACGAGATTTGTTTCTGTTTTGGAATCGTTTGCTTAATTGTTTGTATGTTTCATATTATTGTGCTCTTTTTCTTGTATTATTGTAATGCTGGTGAGAAGCATATTTTTTCTAAATTGTGGACGAAATAAATATCAATATCAATCTCCCCCCTCCCCCCACAACCATAAACATACACACACAACGACTACCCAAATAATTGTTGTGTGAGGGTGCACGTGCACGTTAGGAAATGGAAGAGGGTGACAGCTTGGAAGGGAAATCACAAATAGGCCTATATTTCAAATATACTTATAGACTATTTATTTTATTCATTATCATGATCACTTTATTTAATGAAGCAGTTTTCTTTATTATTTGAAATGGTTCATTTTCGAATTCTGTTGATTTTTCCCATTGATTGGTTTGATTTTCAATGTTACTTTTATATCCAGCTTCTTAAATTCAATACTATATTCATTTTACATTCATTTTTCAGAAGATATTCCTATACCATTTCATAAGAAAGTCATCATGATAATTATGTCAGTTTTTAAAGACAAAAAGAAAGTATAATACGTCGTGCAAAATAATGATTCGATCATATAGGAACACAGGGGTGATATGTGAATTTGTTATTTATCTAATATAGCTAACATGTCCTTTAAAAGGTGTAAGTTTTATGTCTGTTTTACGTGAATCATTTTATTACAATCTACACAATTAGATTTGAAGCTATAGTACGATATAAATCAGTTTCAATCTTGTCAGGCAATACAAACGTGGACAATTCAAGATGTTCACACTGCTTCTACAAAAATGTTAAGTTATGAAACTCACTTCATTCGGTGTCAAAAGGGTTGCCATTGACTGTAATGCTGAAAGTCAAATCCTGGTTGTAACGTACTATGTTACTAAGTGTTCGCTTGATCACTCTTTAAGGAGTCATATTATTAGCGATCACTCCTTTTGAAGTTTAATCCACTCCTAAATCATAGTGGAATTCACTCCCAAGTAGTGGTTCAATTGCTCTCTTAGGAGTGAAATCCACTTTTTGAAGCATGGATTTCCAATCCAAAATGAAGTGATCTTCAATATTATGACTCCCCAAAGTGGGTATCCATTCCTGTATATTCAAAGAGTGCTTGTTTTGTCAACAAAATTAAATCAATCCTATTTGAATGGTCAAGCCCCCATTTATTTGTCCGAATTATTAAATTGCATCCATATACACAAAACTTACACGAAGTACAAGCTGCTTCTAAAACCAACTCACACATGAACAAAAGTAAGTTTTGGAGATCGTACTTTCAATAATAATAATCTCCAAGTTTGGAAGCGCTTAGTGATTCTAATAAGCGCTATATAAAAACTGAGTATTATTATTATTATTATTATTAATTCCGCTCTCACATGGCATGAGAAAAGTGGCATCTGTTGCCGTCTTCAAAGTCAGAAGCTTTTAAATAGTTTTTGGTTGTGGGTCTGTAAAGTAGCACTGTTAGGTGTGTTTTTTGTCCATCACATCGCAGTAGAGTAGAATGTAATAGCTGGGCTACATAAATTTATTGATCTAATTATTATTATATCTTTTTTTTTAAAATCTTTGTCATTTCAGCTACTGTACGCCTGGTGAATAATTTCGATACAGAAACCAACAAAGGCAGAGTAGAGATCTTCTACGGCGACGCTTGGGGTACAATCTGTGATGATAATTGGGATATACTCGACGCCGACGTGGTGTGCCGACAACTCGGGTACACCGGGGCGATCCGGGCCCTTAAGAGAGCCTACTTTGGTCCGGGGGAAAACTTGATATGGATTGATGACGTAGCGTGCACAGGGAATGAAAAGAGAATCCAGGACTGCCCCAATTTGGGATGGGGCACTCATGACTGCTTACATCTGGAGGATGCGTCTGTGGAATGCTCAACGGGTAGGTCTAATGCTTTTATACACAATGGCGTCGCCAACGGTCAGAGGGAGGGGGTGCCCTTCCCATACTTATGGATATTTGTGGGTTTTCGGAAATAATTATTTAATATTAGTCATGCACTTTCTTTCAAACTGTATTCGAATTCGTTTAGACTACCACAAAATGCAATAAGGAGGTGAACTTGAAATAGCTTGACAAAAGTATCAAACCCGACCCAGCCCGCCCAGGTATATGTAATAGCTAACATAATAGCTATAAAGAATGTAAAACAAATACGGTATTGAAACAAAATCTTTCGACCGTCTGCATGGAAGTCGGACGGGCAACGAGGTGATCTTTTTTTATCAAAGACATATATTACTCGGTAAAATTCAATTTAAAAAAAGTATATTGAAATGAAATAAACATTGCACCAACACTGGGTAATATGATGATAAAGGGTAAACATATTGATCGACATTCAGTGTGATTATGAACTGGTACATAACTTCGCCTTTTATTAAACTCAATATTTATCTTTATTTTTTATAATCTATGAAGCCACCGTTCGCTTAGTCGGCGGTCCCGATCGTTACGAAGGCAACGTCCAAGTCCTGGACGACGAGGGCAACGATTGGGGCTACGTTTGCGACGACCGCTGGGACGATTTCGACGCTCAAGTTGCCTGCTATCAGCTGGACCAACGTGGACACGAGCATACCAAAAACAAGTCTGCGTACGGAACGAAGAATGATGGGCCTTTAGTCCTCAACAATCTCGACTGCGCGGGAAATGAAGACGCTTTGCAGCGGTGTCCTAACAGAGGCATTAAGAATTGTATGCACTCTGACAAGGCTGGGGTCGGCTGCTTTAGAGGTAGGCACAGTTCGAGTTTGCTTTCAGTTTGAGTGGTATCTCGGAGTGGTAGGTTTCTTTTTTCTGTCCCTTTTTATTCTTTCATTTATTTGGCTTTGTCACTACTTATATCTGTCCTCCATTCATTATCACAAATTATTTCAACGGGGCCTACAACTTTACAAGTTTGCTTTCATGTATAGGTCCCTTCATATTTCTCTCAGTAAAATCAGTACTTTATATTGACCACTTATCTTTATGTGATTTATTATGTATCATTGATCGTTATTTCATCACGAACAAAAAAAGTTGTACTTTAAAAATATATATATATATATGTAACATGAGAAATATGAAATGAAATGAAACCACGACCTTTGCATTCCCGGTCAAGTGCTTAAACCACTCGACCAGTCATTACCCGACCCAGGAAAAAATACCAGCATAAAGATGAAGTGCAGGTTAATTTCTCCAATCTTCGTCGAATTACAAAGGAGAGATGTGTAAATACAGGTTTCAATTTGCCTAAAGTTCTTTTGTCTAATCCAAGATCAATGAATAACAAATTGGATGAGCTTGAAATCATTGTGAGAGATCGTGGTGTTGATAGTAGCTTTAACGGAACCATGGGAAGTAAAAGACTCATCTCTATTTTAATCTTTTTACCATGCTTGTATTGACATTTGTAAACATTTACAGCTGTATTTCTGGAAACCTGTGCAATGTGTTTATGGATTTTAGTTACAGAATATAAATGTTATTTTTGATATTGCTAGTTTTTTTTACATGTATATATTTAAAAGTGTTATCTATTGTGCCGAACATGTAAACGTGAATATTCCAGCCAAGGCTGTCCTTCACGTAACATTGTATTTGTATGAACCATGTTTCTGCTATAATCAAAACCATTTTTGAATTGAATTGAATTGAAATGACTGCAACACCTCTCATTATATTCAACTATATATATATATAATGTCCTCATTGTCTTCTAATTATAGATGCAATTGAAGAGGGATCTGTACGATTGGCTGGTACAGGGTATCCCAACAGAGGGCGAGTAGAGGTCTATCACAATGAAGAATGGGGTACCGTTTGTGATGATTACTGGGACTACTATGATGCTAAGGTAGGACAATTGAATTCTCTTCACTTCTCGTCCCAAACAAGTCGACTTTCCGAGTTTAAAGAAGTTGTCTTCTCGTCTTGATCCTTATCCTAAATTATCTCGTCATCTCGTCGGAACTCTTAAGCTCCCGTAAATACCTGTCATCAACTATCCTGAATACCAGAATTAGTATCACAATTAATAGTATGGGGTGTTACATCGCCTCATTAAAAAAATGACCATGTTGACCATCTGAAATAATCAAGCGACTTAAACGCACGCACGCACACACACACACACGCACCCTCACACATACACACTCATGTACGAACATACGCACACATTGAAGAGTTTCATTGCAACAGTTTATTATTTCCATACGTAGCTATCTACGATGTTTATCAGTTTCTGTAACTTTCAATATGAAATAATCCCACTGTTTTAAGATTCTTGAAGATATCTCCTTCTCAAGTTACCGAATTAAGCGACAAGAATATTTGACCAATTCTTTCTGGAATATTTCCTGTTGCTTTTATCTTTTTATCACGTCCATGAATATTGAAAGTACTATGAATGAAAGTTAAATCAAGCATAAGTCTGCATTATTAAGAGGATCATGAAGGGATATATAGTTGGTATTATAGGAATTTATTGTGTTTACAAAAGATGGGTTGGGGAATAGTACAGGAAAGGCAGCAGGGAAGACTGCAATAAGAAGCATGGAAATGTAGAAAGACATTGCCGTCAACTCTTTCAGCGGCAGGACATTAAAGAGAAGAAGAAGAAAAATATCCATAAACCTCCAGTGGCTCATTTCTCAATCACCATCCTCGGTTACCTCTGTCTTCACAGGTTGTTTGTCGGCAGCTAGGCTTCATCGACAGTCAGCCCAAAGCCTACTATAAGAGTTACTTTGGTGCAGGCGATGGTAGGATATGGCTGGACAACATGGCGTGTGGAGGCGGTGAGGATCGGCTGGAGTACTGCATCTCCAGTAATGGCTGGGGAACACATGATTGCAGCCACGGTGAAGATGCAGGGGTTTATTGCGACGAAAGAGGTAAGCTTTCTCGTGTCATGGCTTAAGTTTTCTTTAAAGCTTCTTTTACAGTAATCTTTAAAAAAAAAAAAAACTTAATTGTAAGCATTTTTTATTTTCGTCGAATAAAAATTGGGGATCAATCATTGCAAGGGATTTATGTATTCATCAAATTTCAAATTGCTTTCTTTGCAGGTTGTTCGGAAAAGCTTGTGAATATAATTTATACAATCGATCGAGAGAATGATATAGCTTTTAATGTTGTTTTGTTAACTTGCAGGTGATTTCGATGCAGCAGAAATAACGGGGATTATACTCGCATCTCTCTTTGGAGCGTCCATTCTGTTCTGCTGTGTCAAATACATTTGCTGCGAGGCCGCTTCTAACAAGAGACAGCAACGGCGACGACGGTCGCGTGGTCGACGCCAGAGTAGAAGATCGCCGACGGCAGCGACGAGACCTACCGACCCTGAAGACCATTTCAACGCACACTTTAACAGCGCGTATACGATCAGTGATAATTATGATGAAATCTTCACCCCTCCAGGATTCCCTTTCGCGTACCCAAGTTCTGCACCGCCACCGTTCTCCCCTACTGATCTGCCTCCCGCATATGACACCATTATTTCCACTTCAGGACCAGCCGATAGTGGAACACCAGTTACCAGTGGCGACACCGCTATGGGTAATTCTGTGGGCGCGAGCGATGTTGTAACGAATCCAATAGCTATGGCTCCAGCACCTCCACGAAGTACAACTTCGGTTAATGCAGGACCAGTTCCGATGCCAGAAAGTAACTTCGCTTATCCTCTAGCTCAGCCAGCTAGTAATCTTCCTTATCCTCCCGAGCCAGTGATGTCCCAACAACAGGCCCCAATACCAGCGAACCCACCGGCAGCCATGCCATCGATAGAGGCCGTGGCGCCACCGCCATATGCCATGGCAGCTTCACACCAGTTAGAGCAAAATAATGAACCTCTCTCACCATCATCGTCATGTCAACCTACCTACCAAGTGCCTATTGAAGGTCAGGTTCAACAGTCTCCTGCAGCCCCCTCACCGGTCAAGTCTGTCACGGTAGCAGAGACTTCTGCTACTAATGATCAGGCTCATGCGCATCTGAACACTTTCGAAGAAACAAGCATCACCTATATTGCCAATGCCGAAGAGTCAATTGATCTAGGATTGCCAAAATGATAACGATAAGTTATCAGACGCGTGAATTGCGGATACTTAACAAAAATGAATGGCTCCTAGCTTTTCTAATGAGCGTTACCAAATATAATTTTCTTCCTCCTTTTGTCTTCAAAATAAAGTGACTGGACGCTTTTAAAAAGCATATTGATCAGGTCAATGTGTAGAAGTCGGGATCCAGGAGGGTTATGATCAAATACGCAAAATCAGCATATTAGTACAGCAGTTGCAGGATGTCATAGGGCTAATTTGTATAGTCAAGAACTGTTTTAAGTAATGGAAATAGAAGTTTATGTACTAATTATCTGATCACTAAGCGTTATTTTGTAGACGCTAAGAGCAGGCATCTGTATGAAACCTTATATAGAAACATGAGGGCACTGGGGCTGTGGGGGCATATGCCCCTCAATTTAACAGAGGAAAGGGTAGCAAAATGAAAAGTTGGAGAGAGGAAGAGAGAGAGAGAGAGAGGGGGGGGGGGGGAGAGAGAAGGGGAAGAGGGAGGAACGTGAAAGGTGGTGTATAGGAGATCCCAACTCGATCCTATATGAAAAGCCTTGTTAATTAACAGTCCATCCTCTATTGCATGGTAATGGCCAATGACCCCCTAAATGTCTTGGTCCACTTAACGTCATTGGTAGGGATACAGCGATATTAAATATTGAAGCTTTTATTGCATTTTATTACGGTTATGTATGAATATTTTAAGTGAAATTTTCCTGAACATAATAATAATAATAATCATAGTCAAATCGAAATCGCGGACTATTGTGAGCGTCGTCAAAGGTATCAGCTAATCATTACAGAAACAACCCAATTAACATTTACCAAATTTGTATCAGACTGCAGTCACTGCTCAGTTTTAAATCACAATTAACAGCATCGTAACCTCCCTGCGGCAATCACCGATAGCCACATGTAATAATCAGAACCATCTAACAATATGATGTAGTCGCGTACGTTTCGGGGGCAAGAACACAATATTATCATGTGCCATTATTGACGCAAACTGGAACCAAGTTAGCCAAATGTACTTTTGGGAGAAATTATAGCTACTATAATCTAAGTGAAATATTGTCTCATAAGATATAACATGACATATATTTTTGAAAATGTTTTTAACTACATTATCGCTTGTCATCTGAAACTTCTATCTGAATTTAATATTTGAAGAAAAAAAAATCTTTTCTTTCTTGAACAGCGGAAATGTTACGAACAAAGCTTCGAATTTTCATAATGTTATTCTGTAACAGGACTTGCACATGATGACATTTAGAAGTAATACAATGAAATATTATATCTGACATTGTGCATATCCAATGTCATTTTGTTACAGGCCTTGTAGATATATGTCATTTAGGAATAAAAACTTCAATGAAATATATTATTTGACATTGTGCGTATCCATTTGTATTCAATTGATAAAGTATAAAAGTGTTACCATTTTCCCCATGAATTAATTATGCATACCCGGTATCATAGTTATAATTATGTCATTTCATTCCAATAATTTGTCATGAGAATGTATTTGTTTTGTTTGTATATCGTACCCATTTTTGTTGAATGGACATAAAAGCAGTAAATGGATGAATAACAATAAATCAGTGTGTCGAACTTGTACTCGCCTATCTGCAACACACACACACACACTCCCATAAAACCGCACACCCACACACTTGCTCTCCCCACACAATTTTTGCAAACAATACTAATAATTCTTCAAAACAATTCTTTTTCATCTAAATAACATATTTCAATTAAGTCAACACATATATAATTCATAAATTAAGATCGAAATTGTTTATGGAACGAAATAAATCATATAAACTACATGTAATTATAACCCCCTCCCGTACTACCCAACCCCAAACAAAACGAAACCCATTTCTACCACTCCCCCTCCCTTACTACCTTTCCCCATTCAAAATCATCTACCCTCTCCTCCCCCCCCCAAAAAAAAAAACAACAACAACAACAACACACGCAACAAAAAACAAATATGCAAACACCAAACACGCAGTAAGGTTACCTGCTCACGCTCACTTCTTTATCTCTAAAGTCAAATTTGCTATAAGAAAATTTTACTAGTAAGTTAAACGATACTTTGATAAAACAGTCATTAATTTTCCTCGATTCTATTACCCTGAAATATTGTTTTTCTGCCCAGAAATATTCAAGTCTATACTAAAATCTGAAGAAATAAATTGACTTGCTGAAATTTGACAGAAGGAGTAGCATTCTTCCAACTAGTTGGTAAAGTATGAGCACTATCGATTATCTGAAGCAATTGATTCGCATTAACCCCAACTTTGGAAATGAGCCAAGGATTTACGTGATCATTATAAAAAATATGGTTTACATGGCACATGCCTTTATCAAAAAGATCACTTTCAAAAATCATCTTACCTTTTATACATATACATGTATGTAGTAAACACTACTTTTTTTTTTTTTTTTTTTTTTTTTTTTTGAATTCCCACTGCACTGCACTACACTTGAAAATTTGCTCTCCTTCTTTCTCATGTTTTGTGTGTACATTTAGAAGTGCTGTGATTTTGAGTTGTTGACCAAGTGTTTTTATATGGTCAAGGATCAAACAGGACAACTTTTGGTGACTTTTGGTAACTTTTTGGCCTAGTTTTAACGATTTTCTAGGTGAGCTTGTGTGCAAATATTTCCTTGGAGACAGTGAGTGTAGCCATGTTCTATATAGTCTTGTAGTGTGGAGTATCTAAAAAGGTTCGCTCATCCGTTCATTCTTAGGACACAAAGAACCTAGAACATTGACAATGGAATTGGTCAAGCTGACCACCTTTGTGCTTTTTTGTGTGATGTGTTTGGAACTTTGTGAAGCAAGTGCTGAATGTGAACGCTACTATACATTGTACATACATAGCGAAAGCACAAGGCTCCCACTTGATACTGTAAACACTACTTTTGGTGGACACTATGGCAAAAGAATCTGTTATTATCCGAATTCTTCAGCGACTTTTCAGTTACAACTTTCGGGTGATATTCACCCTAATCCTGGCCCGCAAAACTGTAAAGACGCTAAACGCGAATTTCACTGCGCCCTTCTGAATGCCCGAAGTATAGTGAACAAAGTTCTTGATTTGAAGACACTTAATTGCTGTAACTGACAACATAGACATTTTCTTCATCACAGAAACATGGCTAAGTGATTGTATACTTGACACCGAAATACTTCCTCCTGAATATCAGATATTCAGGAGAGACAGAAACCGTAATGGAGGAGGGGTTCTCTTTGGTTGCAACAAAACTCTTGATTCCTTGCGTCGTGACGATTTTGAAATACCGCATGATGATCCAAACTCTAAATTTTGCGAGCTGTTGTGGACGCAAATCACTCTCCCTAATAGCCAGGGCAAAATCCTGTTTGGAACTCTGTACAGACCTCCCTCTTCCAGTCCTAAACATTTCTGTGAGGCTCTGAGTTCTTCACTCAATAGGATAGCTCCTCATATTCACAAGTTTAAAGCGCTTATTCTCACTGGTGATTTCAATCTACATCTCTCCACTGATACAGATGGAAACTCAATAGCGCTCAACAAAATTTCTGATGAAGTCCTGAATATTACTTCCTCTTTTGGTCTGTCCCAACTTGTACAGTTCACAACAAGACGAGGAAATAACCAACGTGATTCTATCCTAGATCTTGTGTTTTGCAATAACGTTGATCTAATTGCTAACATCTGCCCCGGTCCAGGTATTGGAAAGAGTGATCACGGTTCAGTTTGACCTAACACTCTGTTCTAGAACGCAATCACTGCCTCGCTCGTTTTGGCAGTTCCACAAGGCAGACAAACATGACTTTCAAAGATCAATTCAATCAATTCCTTGGGACCTCTTCGTCGATGAAAATGATATTGATGCCACATGGGATAACTTTACAATGCTATTGCATGCGGCCGTTAGTGATGTAGTACCCTCTGTCCAGGCAAAAGGTCGGCGACGCAAGCCATGGATCACCGCAGACATCGTCCATCTCTCCCGGAAAAAGAAACGTGCCTATCACAAAGCGATTTCTGATAAACATAACAGATCATTATGGGAGAAATTTCAAAAACTGAACAAGGATATGAACAGACTTACTAAACAGTCTTATAATGAGTATCTGCAATCCTTGGCTTTGAATTCGGCTCGTGATCCTAAAAGATTCTGGTCTTTCGTGAACTCTCAAAGGAAGAAATCTAATGTAATCATCCTTTACATACAATGATGAACAGGTCGAATCTGTACCAATGATTGCGCAGGCTTTTAACAATCATTTTGTAGGAAATTTTTCTGCACTACAGTCAGAAACAGGGAATGACGTTTATGAGTCGTGTGTGTCCCATTTTGGAATGACCCCTCTGAAAGGTTTTGAGATAAGTGAGGGAGATGTTCTTAGGGAAATAGTAAGATTGAAAGTTAACAAGCCCCCTGGTCCTAATGGCATATCCCCAAACTTTCTCAAACTTGCTGACGTTGCTATTACTCCAATCCTAACAAAAATCTTCAATTTAAGTCTGAAGCTTGGTTCGGTACCCAGGTCTTGGAGACTAGCTTACGTGACTCCGCTCCACAAGAGCGGTGACCGTAAACGGATTGAAAATTATCGCCCTATATCGCTTTGCTCAATACCTTGTAAAATGCTTGAACGCCTAATTGTGGTTAAGCTTCTAAGTCATTCACAAAGTTACAAGATCATTCCTGATTCCCAACACGGTTTCCTCCCGAAGCGGTCATGTACAACACAAGCCGTCACCCTCTTTTCAAATTGGGCAAAAGCTTTGGACCAGTCCAAGCCGCCAAGAGTTGATGCAATTTTCTTGGACTGGTCCAAAGCTTTTGACAAGGTAAATCATTTCAAACTTATTCAGAAACTGCACAATTATGGCGTTTGCGGCAAATTGCTTTGTTGGATACGTTCTTTTCTCTCAGATCGACAACAGTGTGTCTTGTTTGAAGGGGTAAAATCGGATTGGAAACAAGTTCCTTCCGGTGTGCCACAGGGTTCCGTTATTGGACCGATCTTGTTTAATTATTTTACAGCCGACTTACCTGACACTGTTTCATCCCCCCTCCCACAATATGCTGATGACACAGTGTTGTATCGGGAAATTTATACCGACAATGACCCGAATTTATTGCAAACTGACTTGAATAATATACTTGTGTGGTGTATTGACAATGGCATGGTCCTGAACTCATCTAAGTGCAAAGTCATGCACATAACTAGATCCCGTAAATTAATTACTACTGTTTACTCCACTGACGGAAATCCTTTAGATGTAGTTCAGTCGTATAAATATTTAGGACTTACTTTTTCGCGAGATCTGAGTTGGAAAAACCATATTCAATGTGTTATTAACAGATGTTCTATGCTCTGTGGGTTTATCCGACGTACCGTAAAATCTAGAAACTCAGCTATTCTCACAAAACTCTTTTGTTCATTATGTCGACCTGTGATTGAGTACGGCATACCAGCATGGCTCCCTCATCAAAAGAACCATATCAGAGCTATCGAGGCTGTTCAAAGGCGTTTTACCCGATTCTGTTTCCCTTACGAAGTTGCTAATTCCTTATCATACACGGAACGACTGTCTCGCCTTAACATGCCCCCTCTGTATAACAGACTTGTGTACCTATCAATGTCATTTGTAATTAAGAGCTTACACAGAATTTATGACATGCCTGAATATATGCTACCAGTCCCAAGTCATAGAAGAATCCATACACTTGTTTTCAATCATGAATTAGCAAGATGCAATAGCTTGAGATTTTCTTGTTTTTATGTTTTTCCCAGATTTTGGGAACACCTCTCTGAGGAAGACAGAGACTTGTGTCTTGGTACCAATGTCCTTCCTTTTCTGAATGTGCTCCGAAAGTTCCTATTTGAATTGCCTCCCCTTGTAGAAGCATACTAGCTTGCTTTTTTTTTTTTTTTTTTCCCTTCTTCTTTTCTTCTCTATCATAGAATAACTCACACTTTGATATGTATTATTGATTTCTTATATCCGTATCCATATATGACTGTATAAATAGACAGTTTCTGCATTTTGATATGTATTATTGATTTCTTAATGCGTATGTTGTTACTATTATGTTCTTATTTAATGTACTTTCTCTATCAATGTGTCCTATCACATCCTTCTCACTATGACTGTATAAACAGACAGTTTTCTGCATTTTGATATGTTTTATTGATTTCTTAATGCATATGTTGTTATTATTAAGTTCTTATTTAATGTACTTCCTCTATCAATGTGTTCTATCACATTCTTCTACCTTTGAATACTATGTATTTTAAATTTGTCTATAAATCGATAATAATGTCTCCCAATTTGGATAACTTTCAATCATCAATAATAATTTTCCATAATTTGGATAACTTCAAATCAAATCAACTCAAATTCATAATGTTATACAGTTTTTCTAATTTCCAATATTACCGTATCCACATGACTGTATAAACAGACAATTTTCTGCATTTATCATACATGCATAGTTTGAACAGCTCTTTTTCGAATCCTTCTTTAAAATAATCCTAATAGTATTTGATCTACATGTATATTACCGTTAGTTTAGTTACACATTCATTTATAAATTATGTTGACCTTATCTTTATATTTTGTTTTATGTATGCACCAGCCAATGTGGAGAGCCTCTCGACAGAATTTTTTAAATTCTTTTAGGTGATCCTCAGGCATTGGCTGGTGCTAAATATCATTATGTTTACAGTATGTTCTATCATTTGTTAACCTTGTGATATTTTGTATGTTATCATCTTGCCTGGAAATGAAATAAATAAATAAATAAATAAATAAATTACAAAATATCACTGGGTTCACTTCACTTTCAGAGTTCTATATTTGCCAATATCCTGCCAAGCCTTCAGCATTTCTAAATAAAATGGTGGCATTTTCATAATTTGGATACATCTTGTGCACAAACACACCCACTCATATCCTCCAAACAACTACATTGAACCACACACTTCAAATGTGAACGAGACAAGAAGCTATTAAACTGGATACAGATAATGTTCTCCATAAACATTGGTCTTTATTTGAATTCTTTCCATTAGAGCAAATATTTACTGTCATTATGAAAGGAATTTTTCGTTTGCCAAATATTAGCACATAATAATCAGTTATGGTAAATTTAAGGCCAATTATTGAACCCATTTGCCTACTTGCATTTGTCCTAATAACTATTAGAATTTCTCAACAGTATACAGTGGTAAACGATTATGTGAAATTAATAGATATTTACTCAATCTAGTTATCATCGTTACAATATCAAAACAACTCAGTAAAAGTTGTCACATATTTACTAACAAATTAACACAATAATGCAAACTCTACAGTTTCTGTGTCTTTGTGTACATTATTTCTACCATTGTTATCTATCTGTTTGTATTTTTATTTTATTTGAAATCTAACCTCAAGTTTTGGGTTGCAATAAAGAAATAATAATATTAATAAAATTGATAATGACAAAAGCCTGCATTGATTAATTAGATACACCTTAACATAACACTTCCTATAACTAAGTTTCAGAAAGTAAGATACAGTAATAACATTGCTTACCTTTATGTGTTAGTTTACTACCACATAACGCATGTAGTACTTGACCCACTTGCACTTTCTTTACAGCCTCTACTTAAGTACCTGTACCAGCATTTTATTTCATGAGTAAACAGTAGATCTACTTTTGATATTGCCTTGTATAAACATGTGAAAACATTTGAGCAGCAGATAGTTATATATATATTTCAAAGGAGTTCGTATCCCTTCTCCAATACAACATACTAATGTACTGTATGAATAATATCTGCACTTAAAATCAAGATGATTGGTCATAAAGATGTCAAATACATCAACAAATAGAATAACATTTTTTTGATTGCAATTTGTCTAAATGTTATTAAAAGTACACATGATTTTATTTTAAATGATTACTTGCACATTACAACCCTATAACTATTAAGCCTATATGAATTGGAGGAGGGGGGGGGGGGGGGTGTCAAAAACTGTCTTTGCTTCAATTTTCAAACTGAACATTATTACTAAAACGACATTATACAAAGCTGAGTCAAGTTCAGAATAAACATTGCCTTCAATCCTATAGATCTGCTCAGAGAAAATACCTTCATTCCAAAAACTAAATGGATTCCCTATAAATTGGAGGGATTCCCTTGTCACTACCTGATTAGGTATTTAAAAAGATACATTTCAAATTAGAATTTACATTTAGCTTAGTCAATATCCTGTCTTTAAACCAGAATATATGAATATGAGGTTTTCATCACATTAGTTATATTTCTACCTATTTGAAATGCACAAGGAATGCACCAGAAGTCGTGGGATATGAGAATATAATGACATATTTGATCAGACCGAGAAATAATGTGAACACCACTTGTTGAAAACTTAATCATATTACACAGCCCATCAAAAATCTGCTACATGATACTAGGTTTTGTATGTACACTAAAACATAGGATAGTTTATTTTATGTTGAACAATATAATTTCATAGCCAATTTATGATTGATGCATTGAAAAAATATTTTTTCATAAACTTGATAAATTTCCATGAACTAGAAATTTAGAATTAAAAAAACACAACAATTAGTCATCTTAATCATTGTTCATAAGTAAATTGATGGGATGTTAGATTAAGAATGAACTGACATTTTTTCTGGGTTACGTCTAAATAATATCTTGATTCATGGAGCCTAAAATCGTTTGAATAAAATATAGAAGTCTGTTTCCTCAAAACTCAAATTGCAAATATGAACAACATTACCAGAATCATGTTCACTTCTCATTCTTGCTGAAACCATTACAGCTTAATCTGACTGATCTTCTACATACTTAGAATTAAATCAGTTCTCAAGAAAGGCACAAAATCATCATCTCATCTCCTTTTTTTTTAAAGTGCAGGTGTCATTCATTCAATGGCATCCCCAACCCTCCAGGGCAGTGTTTCACAAAACTGTCATAAGTACAAGTTCTTATGCCAGTATGATAACAGTGAACTTGTACTAATGACGGTTTTGTGAAACAACGCCTAGTATTATTAGCCGGGCTATGGCTAAGTTACAGATATGCAGTGCTCAAGTATTCCATGTTCCCACCTGCACCTGGGTAGAGAGTGGCAACTTTAAATTGATATATTGCTAAGGTATATTAATTCTTGGCTGTTCAAACCTTTTGTCCAAGAACAAATGTGAATTGTGTACTGCCCCTATTTCAATTCCTTGCAGAACTACTAATGTTCTCTGGCAAGCAATAATCTACAATACACCAGTTTACAGTTACAACAGTGCGCATGCGCTGACATGGGTGCCATTTTAATAGACGGATAAACAAACCACTGACCTCTAGAGGTCAGTTTACGCGTAATTGAAGACGGCGCCCATGCATATACGATGCGAGCGCACAGCGCAGTCAGTGATGCAACAATACATGCGCATCTGAAAACATTGATGACACTGCCTGCGCTGTGCGCTTACATCATACTTGCATGGGCGCTATCTTAATTTACGCGTAAACCACTGACCTCTAGAGGTCAATGGTTTGTTTACCCGTAAATTAAAATGGCGCCCATAACCGTAAACTGGTGTATTGCCACACTCGACCCAGGTGTAACAAGTGGGTACCTGGTCATGCTAGAAGGATATATTCTTGAATGCACCGAGTGCTACAGTTACTAGAGCTAAAGCCAGGGTAACAATTTCCACTTTGTGGATAGGGACATTACATCATAATGCCATATGCACTCTACAAGAATAGCATATTATTATCATTATTATTATAATTATTATTATTTCAATGAGTAAGCTATGGTCTAATTCTTGATGGAAGTTTTGAGACTTGCCTCAAATCTTACATAAAAATTACAATGTACTATTTATCGAAAATCATCACACAATTTTCAATACAGAGGCATAATGGAATAACCAGAAGGACTTACCGGTACTATAAAATCTAATGTCTTCTTCTTATTGTTCACAATTTCATCTTTGGAAATCGATATACATTACCTGATCTTACATTACAATGGTTTATTCTGGAGGAAAGAGGTGATCATTTTCAAAGCTTGCGCTGGTCTTTCCTGAGGTACCATGTGACCGGACCCTTTGACCGTTACTAGGGAGAGTCCTTCAAACTCCTTCACGAAGCCCGCAATCTGGTCTCCGAGCTTCCACGGCGCCCTGTCGGTTTTCTGCTTCAGGTTGAGTGATTCAATGAACCATTCATCTCCTAGGAAGTTACAGGCCATGTCGGTGTCTCCATTGTACACCAGACCTCGATACTGAGTGAGAATAGACTTGTAGGTATCGTACATGGTGGCGTAGATGGTCTTGTATGGAAGAGCACTAAAAATAAAAGATGTGAGGTGTTAACAATATGCAGTTCTTGTATAGCGCATATCATATGAAGCAGAGCTCGACACCAACAGGCACATAAATTTTAGAATTTTTACATAGGGCTTATGATTGCCAACTTCAAAAAGTTTGAGCTGGATGGGACCCCTTCTAATAAAGGGTTGTGTGGATCCCCTATTACATGAGAACTGAATCGTTTGTATCATAAGTTTTACTCATATAGACCAACATTTAAAAAGAATTAGGGAATTTGTTTGTTCCCCCTCGAAGAAAAAAATCCTTACAAAAAGAAGATTCACACTCATGTAAAAGAGTCTCAGTCATGACTTCCCCCATTCTAGATGAATTAAGAGGGCACCATATATTCCTGCTTATTCCTGGTAAAGACAAATACACCTCATTACTTTATATCACGATCAAGACCATTTGTGGCTAGAAAATTCATTCAATAGAGATCCTCAAGTAGCTCTAAAGAAACATCATCTGTTTGGAGCCAGAAGGGCTTAATCTTATATATTATAACATCCAGTTAATGTCCTCTGGTTCCAAACAGATGACACCTAAAATGAGTATTCAAGATTCTCAAGTGGACTTGAAGGAATCAGCAGATGTACATTCCTAAATTTCAGTAGGCATCTTGCTCCCTACAGCACATATTCATAGGAAACAATAAGGGTAAGAAAGCTCATCTGTACAGGTGATACATATGTTTAAAAATGTTGGAAGGTGAGTAAAGGAATTATCTACATCACGGTCTTCAAACCTTCTCCCAACAAAGACGTAGGGGTGCTACAATCTTCTAAATATCTATGACCTGGGCCCTCTTTCATAAAACTTGTTATCAATAACAAATGCTAAATTTCCATGACAAAATTGCTCTCAGCCAATTAAACGCCTTGATTTCAGTAGCTTCAGTAGCATGTTAAAGCACATTCTTAAGACAAGTCAAGTCATGTCATATCGCTGGAGAAGGCTGTAGCTAGTGAACAGGTTTAAATTTAGGATGTTAAGATCTCTGTATGGAGATCAACAGCGTGACTCTCAAAGATATATGCAACAGTCTCTGTTTGTAGTAGGAAGCAGGAATGATGTTGCTTAGGATCTCCTCAAGGATTTCCTTGAGGACACTCCTTGAGGATTTCCCTAAGGATTTCATTGAGAATACTCCTTGAGGATACTCCTTGAGGATTTCCTTAAGGATTTCATTGAGGATTTCCTTAAGGATTTCATTGAGAATACTCCTTGAGGATACTCCTTGAGGATTTCCTTAAGGATTTCATTGAGGATTTCCTTAAGGATTTCATTGAGGATACTCCTTGAGGATACTCCTTTTCTTACCTGCAGATTTCCCATGCAGTAGCCTCCTCTGCAATGTGGAGAGCTTTCCTGACAGCGGGAAGGTTCAGGTAGGCAGTCACTCCTGTGACATTGATACAAGGTGGGACCACACCAAGCTTGCTCTTGGATAATATAGCTGACATGGGCTGAAATACAAGGGAAAAAGAGGATTTGGAATAGAATCAAAAGAATTGTATAGGACACCAAATGTAATAAAGAAGGACAAATAATTGGTCCTTGATTTGTATTACTTTAGAGGAGTGCCAGTGGGTAATAAATAGGTAAAAATAGGTCAAGGCACTTGGGAAATAAATGGCAATTCAAATAATGAGTTCTACATATTGGACTATCAGATTCATCAACTAGTATAAAACTTCATTACAATGATATTCCACAAAGACCACTATAATTATAGACAGTAAGTCTACCATTCTATGTAATTCATGTGTACCCTGTCTAAAGCCAATTAAAAACAGAATAGTATCCAACAAACAGGTACTCATTTGCACACAAAAAAAACCCATTTCATCAACAACAACAAAATTTTGATGATTAGACATTAAATATAGCATCACTTTCAGGTATAGGATGGCAGGCAGGGTGATTGATGTGACCATACCTGATAGTACTTGGGTGGTTGCGTAGGTAGATGGCCCAAGGCATGCTGCATGTCAAACTGATATCTGGTCAGTAGAGGGCTCTTCACAGACGACGGCCCGTTGTAACAGTCCAGGTAGAGAGAGTAGGTGTTCAGGCCAATGTTGTATACAATGTTGAGGGTTTCACGAACCTGGAAATTAAAGACAGTTCATAGAAATTAAAGACGGTTAAAATAGAAAATAAAGACATTGAATAGAAATTAAAGACAGTTAAATTAATCATTATTGGTTCGGTTCATTTTATAATATTCTGTTCTCATCTGATAACTAAATATTTCAAAGGATAAAAGACAACCACTGGCTACCTGTATGAACAGGATCAGTCTAAAACTGATACATTGTATTTCATATCTATAGATATTTCATATGTAGTGCAAAGCAGTCATCTCTTTTGTATAACTTTGTATCTTTGTACAGTGAAACCTGTCTATAACGACCACCCAAGGGTGAAAGAAAAGTGGTCTTTCACTCTTTATAGGCAGGTGGTCTTAAAGTACAGGTGCTTATAGTACATGTTTCAATGAGAAACCATTTTCAATGGAACAAAAATGTGGTCTTTGTAGACAGGTGGTCACTAAAGCAGGTTTAACTGTATCAGTTGCATTAGTACCACATAACGGAAGGTGCTTTTCATTTTCAAGTCACCTTTGTGGAAAATACAGTTAAACCTGTACTGCTCCAGAAATGTGGTCTTTATAGACAAATGATCCAGATCTCTGGTATAATTTATGTAGAAGTTATTTTTTTTACATATTTTTTTTAGTGAGACACATTATCAGAAGGAGTAAAACAATTTGGTTTTTATAGGCAGGTTGTCTTCCTATAAGGTGGCCACTAAAGCAGGTTTGATTGTACTTACAAGTGTCAGACATCCTGTATCCGTTGATTCAGTGAAGACGCAGTATGTCCCATCACAACACTTGTCATTCAACCCTTTCCAGAGGCTACAAGAACAACAACAAAGCACATCTTACAATTAATAGTTTGAAATGTAAGGTAATCTTTGAATCGGTGATGAATTGATCTCTTTTAATCCTCATATCTTCATGCTTAGATTTCACATATTAATGAAAAATAATGTTCAATGATATAGAGAAGTCAACTGGACTTTCTATGTTGTAGCTTGCAACGTTTCACTACCACTCTGGGATGCTTCATCAGGACGAATGACTGGTCTTTGGTGGCAAAATGATTGACCCATGACGGGGTCAAGGAACTGAAACATAGTAAGTCCAGTTGACTTGTCTATAATATTAAACGTTATTTATCTAATGATTGGATGATTGAGCTTATTCATAGACATATTCATGAAAAGAAAATTAGACATGAAAACAGAAACATCCAGACAGACAAGTGAGATAATCCATACAGCCTTATTATATAATATGTCCAATATCACATTCAAAGGTAAGAAAAACATGTTTCTTTGAAGAAGAAGAAAGAAAAGATGTATTCTATATCTCAATGTTGCAATGAGTTTGTTTTTATTCCTAATATTTCACTTTGAGTTCACACATCTGATATTCATCAAATCATGTCCACAAAAAAGGGATAGGCTCAATGACCTTTGACCTGTTGACATACCAGTAATCAAATCTCTCTTTGGACTCGCGTTCTTAAAACTTGAAGGAAACCTTCCCTCACAGCGCAAACATACAAACAGCCAGATAGACAAAAGAGACGCCCATAAAACCCAATCACATTATGTGTCTTGTATCACTTTCCATGGTAAGGGCATAATTAAAACATTACTTTCAATTACCGGTAATATATTTTTCGCTCTCCAGCTTCTATTACTTTTAAGTGTGTTTTAAGTACTTTCATTCAATTTAATTGTACACTGTACCTATATATATATATGCAAATGGATCTTTATTACCTAAAACACTGTGTTTGAACATACTTAAGTCTTTTTGTGAACAAATCATTATTATCCACATACACATGCAGAATGCAACATGTAAATTCATGAATATAAGGAAATGTACAAAGAGGTACACAATGGCATCTGTCTGAAGAAATGGACATGAACAAAGCATTCATTGTCTTTAACCGTTACAGAATAAAACTTACTTAAGGCCAATAAGTCCATGGTAGTAGGCGAAATAGACCAATGAATCTGAGTTAGTGGTGAAATTGGTAATTCCGTTTCCAACAGCAAAACCCTGGTATGAGAAACAATGTTTTAAAAACATGGCTCACAACATTATTCACATTAATATAAATAATCAGTAAAAATGCACTTGTAATACATAAGCTGTATCTAATAGATAAATATAATGGAGGGTAAAACATTACAGCTTAATGTTTTATCAAATTAGTTTCAAAGAAGTACCTCCTTCTAACCTTTTACTGTAATGGTTAGGGAATTATTTTTCTCAGTAATTCAATGATGCCAAATGAGGACATGGATATTTTTATGACAATAGAAGCATTAGCCTAAGGAATTCAAACTTTCAAAGAGAGAGAAAAAGAGAGGAGGATGGGGGAGGGGGGCATGGATGCCCCTCTTCTTAAGATTATGTTAATGGAAGCATTACCCCAGAGGATATGAGTGGGGAGAGAAAGTGAGAGAGAGAGAGAGAGGGAGAGAGAAAGAGAGGCAGAAAGAGAAAAAGAGAGAGAGAGAGAGAGAGAGAGAGAGAGAAGGGGAGCCAGATAAAGAGGGAGAGGGAGAGGAAGGGAGATGGATACGTTCCCGTTTATGGTAGCATTACTCTAAAGAGTCGAAAGAGTGAAAAAGAGAGAAGGATGGATTACATGATTACTGTCTCCTTACCTTCATGTTGATGGTAGCATTACCCTGGAGGATTCTGAGAGAGAGTGTAGGCACGTAGATGCCTCCATAGCTCTCCCCTGTCACATAGAATTCATTTGAAGCATACTCCGGGAACTTCTTGAAGAAACTCTGCAGCGCTAAGTAGTTACCCATAGACACCTAGATGAGAGTGGAGTGAGATAATAGCAAGGGAGAGAGAGAGAGAGAGAGAGAGAGAGAGGGAGGGAGGGAGGAAGAGAGACAGACAGACAGAGAGAGGGAGAGACAGGGGAGAGAGAAGGAGAGGAAGAGAGAGAGAGAAATAGAAAGGGAAAGGGAGACAGAGATATGGAAAGAAACAAAAACCAGAAAGGGAAAGGGAGAAAGACAGACAGATGGAGGAAGAAAAAAATGAAACAGAGAGAGAGAGAGAGAGTGAGAGATTTATAGACAGAATGAGAGAAATATGTAAGGCATTGAGTTATTTGTCTTCAAAATGAATCTTTCTATACATTGTCAGTACAAAGAGAAGTAATTCTTTTACATTACTTCCTGCAAAAACACAAGTTTGTAAAATTTAATGTAAATCTAGATACTGTTTAGTTTAAAACATATTTGTGGCTTACACCCAGTAAATAAGATCGATTGATCGATCTGTAATTGAAAAACAATTTGATTTGAACCGGCCATCTACTGCTTGCCGGGCAGCGACTCTACCACCAGGCCATCACTGGTCCATGGCACAGTCACGATGAACTAGAAACAAATACCTAAGCTCTCCCGATTCATTCCGATTTACTAATATTCATTATTCCGCCATAGGACAATAACTTTTATAAATGTAATGCTTCCTTTGAGAAATTTCAATAGTTTAAACATATTTGTTTACTGGTATAAGCCACAAATATGTTTAAGCTATTGAAATTTCTCCCAGGAAGCATTACATTTATAGATCCTGTTTGTTTCATATCATTGATTTGAATAACATCCTGTAAAATTGTGTGGAACTTCCTTTCTAATAAACATAATCATGATGAGTTTATAATATTGATTTTGTAATTTCTGGTTCCCATATGCCATGGTATACCACAGTTTAGTGCTATATTAAAAATAAAACAGCTGCCATCCCATGGCATCCAATGCAATGAATGTTCCACATTGAACTTCCTCCTCCCCTATCCTCAAAACTAAAGAAATATGTAAATATTACCTGTAATTAAAGTGAAATAATGCATAAACTATAAAATGGACACGTACCTATAATACTTATGGCAGGTTTTCATGCAATTCACGCTATATAGGGTTATTTATACAGATGTATTAATAACATTAAAACAGAGCATTGTATTTCAAATTAAAGAAATCTTGGGTACTACCATTCTGAAATGTGTTTCTTAACACACTGCAAGACTCTGGCTTTAGCTTCCAGAAATATCATTATTTCAAATTGCTCTTTAACCCATTTAGACAGCTTCAGTCATCTTTTGGGTGGATATATTTGCTTACCTTATCATCATCAGTAGCATACTCCTTGGAAGGATTATAAGAGTAACCTACACCAGCAGGTGCTTCCAGAAAGATGACATTAGCAACCTTGTTCCAGCTGAACTCATTCATGTATAAGCTCTGCCCATCATTATTTACCTGGATGAACAGAGAAAGAGAGTAGATACACCAATTGTTTATATGTTGACAGGTTTGATTTGATTACTTTGATTTGATATGGTGCATTATAAAAATAATGTTCAAAATAGCAGCAATAAAGCTGAAACAAGTTGAATTTACCATCTAAGAGTTATTAAAGAAATTCCATTAAAACACAATACATCAAAAATTGATACAATGAAGTTATTTTAAGAGGCATAAAATTTTAATTCAAATCATTCATGAGTTCTATTATCAAGGAGATTTCATGATCTTGATGTTGAGTTTATAAAAAGTCAAAAATATTTGAATTTTCACTATTGAATATATTTTATTTCAAGGCTACTAATGGCTCTTCATAATTCTTGAGGCCAATTTAGAGTTAAGTTCAGCTTAGGATCTTTGTGAAACACCCCCAGGTTAATTTTGATTTTGTAAAAAGGTATGAATACTACATACATGAAATGGTCCTAGCTCAGACAGCATACCATCCATGGAGCTACATCCTGGTCCTCCATTCATCCATAGCACTACAGGGTCATTGGCTGGGTCATTCTCAGATTCAACAAACCTTCCAGAAAGAAATGAAGAATGAAAAGAGGATTAATTAATACCATAGCTAATGTATGGCTCCTGAACCTCGATCAAAACTATCAAGGCCTGACCTGCCATCATAAAGATTCTGATCTGATTATACTCTCGCAGTCTTAAAACATTCAATAGCGTCGATAGTACACTGAATGATTGCCTACGGGAACCGGGTGATCCCTGTATTACGCCTAGTCGCCTATCAAAATGAGAGAATTCAGGAGTCAACTGGTTAATCATCATGAGATATGACCACTTGACCACAGTAGTCCTTAGCATAACATCCGATTCCGTGAAAAATGAAAATGGATGAGATCAATTTTTAAATAACATAGAAATTTGACTGCATACATGTATAATCAAACCATTGTTTTCTCCCTTAATCTCCTCTTCTTCCTCCTTCTCTTTCCTCTTCTCAGAATCGGAGTTCTCATTCTTTCTAACTTTCATTTTTCTCTTCATCTTCACCTACTTTGCAGAACAGTCTTCCTGAATATGCTATCTCAGCAACTTTTATAAACCTTTTTAAGAAAAGACTAGACAAATACTGGTCTAAAAACCACAATCTTGTCTATGAGCCTGTATAAGCTGTAATAAGTATGAGCTGATATTGCAAGTTTGCACACATTTTTGTCCTTTCCCACATATTTAATTATTTAATTTGAAATGACAAACATAATGTATATCCACTGAAAAAACATCTACGATCGATGAACAGGCATAGTCTTATAAGCACTGTTGGATTAAAGTAAAGTAAGTAGGCCTACATTGTAAAGTACTCTTTTCATTTTCCTTGTTCAATTTCTTCTTCCTTCTCAGATTCAAGAGTCCTCATTCTTATTTTTTATTCATTTTCCTCTCCTTCATATTCTTCTCTTTTTTATTCTCCTGTTTCCCTTACTCTCTTCTCAGAGTTCTCATTGAAAAAAGAACTTTATCATTAATCTTTGTCTTCTTTTAAATTTCAACTTTTCAGCCTAAATTTAGGCCATGCAAGCTATCACCGATCACAGGGTTAAAGCTTTTGTATTTATCTTAATTGCACCCCAAATTGTAATAGTGTATATATATAGATCTAGGGCTGTATACTGTAAAGAGTAGATCTATAAAATGCCGATGTTATTAAACCCAAAAGAATCTATTAGACAGCGCAAGCAAAGCTCTAGACCGAATTTTTCTGTCTCTTTCGTTCGTTAGCCTTTGATTCGGGTAAGGTCGGCTTTCAACGAACGAAAGAGACAGAAAAATTTGGTCTAGCAAAGCTCATGAATGATCATGTGCAGCAGCTCCAGTGTAGTGCTGCCCGGTAATTTTCATCAAACGCTCACCAGTAATGCAGCCGGTCCTCTCCCGATGCGTTCAAGTAGCCCGAGTAGTGACGAAAGGTCGGCTGCGTCTTCAAACCCGGAAGATTCGTAACTTCATCTGGTGCATAAGCGGCTAAAACAACGTTTATGAATGAATTTAAAATAAAAAATATAACAGTTGTACTGATTGTCCAAGTTAACGCCATTTCACAAGGTTTTAAGACGATCAAAAAGTGAGAAAATGGGCATTGAATATAATATGGATCTCTTCAGAAATTCCGTTTCGGTACGGTCGCGATGTAGTACTGGCATGGACTAGTCACATGATCAGTTTCGAGAAACTTATACAATGCAGGTCATATGACCAGTTTCGAGCAACCCGCCCACAATGGTCATATGATCAGTTTCGAGCAAAAACATATTGATGTTGATTGATTTTGATCATAGAGCTATATATTAATAATTGACCTGTATTCAGTGTCCTAATTCAGTGCATAATAAAGCATGTGTATATGGTCGTTGGTTTGAACTTTTATGCATGTCATCGATCATTCTGAATGGGCGTTGTCGCTCTATTGTTTCGTTGTTGTTTTTTGTTGTTGTTGTTGAGATTTTGATGAAGCTCTTCAATCTTCTAGGATTATCTGCGCCACTAATTTTGTTGCAAACCATCCAGAGACTCCTAATAAATTGCGTTACTGATAAATTAATTATATCTTTACAAATCTTTATCCTCAGTTATCTTATTTATAACTGATTTTCCTTATAAAATTAAAGATATGGCGTATATATTCAATACTGAATAAACGCCATTAAACTATTACCTACAACAACTCGTTTTCCAATATTAGTATGAGTCCTTATAGTCTTTTGATTTCTGTGCCAGTTGGTTGTTTTCTTTCGGCATCGAATATCTGGTCCCAGTCGTGGTTTTAACTGTTTTCTGCAAAGATGTGCAAAGGGGCCGGGTCAGTGTATTTATTATTGTCCTTTTCTCACTCTATTTCTTTTATTTGTTGTCTTTTTTCTTTCGGGCTTTTCTTTTTCTTTAACAAAAATAACTTTCTCCCTTTCCTTTTCATTTTGATCACTCATATAAATCGTTTGTTGTCTTTATGGAAATTAATATTTCGTCATATTCAAAAGCGTACAGATATTTGAGGATTTATTATTGAAATATCTTTGCATTACTCTTTTTTATATTTGTCATATATTTTACCCTTTAGTAAGTAATGTTTTCTCTGGAATTTGACCTTTTTTTTGTTTTACAGTAATTATATGTAATAAATATCATATAGGTAATTATTATAATTGTCCAACATGAAGGCACATTTGATTTTTAGTTTTGATTGCTTGGCTCTTTATAATTTTCTTTAAATAGTTTAGGAAATAATTTGTACTATATTGATTAATTCAATTATTTGAGTTTGTTCTTTTATCATTGCCATAACGAGTGTTGCTATACTCTTGTTAGTTGTTACATTGTATCTAGCATGTAGTGATCTCCCTGCAAGTCGGAATGGGAGACCGTCCTTCATGGTTTCGGTGATTTAGTTTGCCTGCCCCATTCCTGGCAACTTGTAAATGCTCATGGGAATCACGATAATGTTTTTTAAAATATTATTTTCATCCTTTGCTTTGTAAGATTTGTTCTTCTATGTAATTCTTTTGTATACACTTTGTTTTGCCGAATAAAATAATAACAATAAGTCAATCTGTATTTTCCTAGTCTAAACTGATGAACTCAGTATCTCTAATTTTCTCTACTTTTTGTGCGTCTCTAATTTAATTGGTTTTGTTACGTCACTTTGTAGTTGGAATAAATTTCGTCCTATTTGTGTACTTTCTCATCCCACTTGCCAAATTTCGTTGTATAGTACTGAGTTGGCTCAGTCAGTATAAAGCGTCCGTCTGTCGAACCAAAGATCCCGGGTTCGACTCCCACCCAGGCGGATGACTGAAGCCTGCGTTGTGTGTTAACGTGCGCCTTCCCTTGTTCATAGACGCAGGTTATGTCAAGTGGAAAGCACTCCGTCCCTCGGATAGGACGTTACATGGAGGCCCCGTGTAGAGAAGAGTCACTACCTTTGCACGTTAAGAACCTATTGCACTATTCGTATAAGAGTAGGGGGAACCCCGGTGTAGTGGTCCACCTGCACACATGCATCCTCAGTATAGTACGACAATACTCTGTAAAGAGGTCTGTAAAGGAAGAAGAAGAAGAAGAACACATGGATTGTCAATTCTTCTTTTACACGTGGGACTACCAAAACTATATTTTCTTTCAAAGAACCTTTCTTGATGGTAAGGATCTGTCATCTCCACATCGTCATTTCCCATAACCCCGCAGTGGAAATGTATCCATTAAAAAATATCTTGCATTCTTAAAACCTGTATTTTATTCAGTCAGGATTTCTATTTTCAATATAGTTTAAGTGTTTTTATTTTCTAACATCTGTAGAGCTAATAAAGAGTCTGACAAGACTAATATTGATATATACCGCTAAAATTTTCAAACCATCTTTGTTTAATTTACAGGGATATCATAATCATGGCTGATCGTGAGGAAAGACGAAGAGGTGGTGTTGCGCTTTAAAGAACATCTAAATTTCAAACTTCGGTATGATAATCTAGCCTACCAGGATTAACACACATTCCTCAACTTTGAGCAATTTTAAATTATTTTTTGACCCCCGAAATTTTGAAAAATCGCACCCCCCCCCCTTCTTGAGCGCCAGGGGGGGGGGACCCATCTCCAAAAAAGGTAAACTTAACGTGTTTTTAGACGTTTTTTTCAGGGGGGCGGGGGACCCGCCACTGCGTCTGACATAGCAACTCGTATGTTGATATATTGTCGCAGAGAATCAGCAAGCGATTTCGAGAAAGTGCGCAGTGTAAATGAAATGTTGAAACTTGCCGCAGCTGGGGAGTCGTGGACAATGAAAACATCACGCCTGACACACATCTCGCCGCTGATGGTGTACACCTAAATGGCTATGGACCGGAGTATCCGTCTTTTCAGACGACGAGCAAAGCGAAATTCCGCAAGAAAGCATCCGACCGTGTTTTCCCACGAGAATGGCTAGATTGTCTACAAACAGCCTGGAGACTCTTCAACAGTCACAGAGATTACACAATTAGTCATGAAGACATTGAGTTAGTAATTAAATGGGTGTATTCCAGTTATTTCAGACATTGGGATCCGAATAGGTCATTTGAATATAAACTCCCTTCCTGCTAAAAATCAATTGAGATTCATGGTAAAGAAATGTCCCTTTGAATGAGAATATCAGAGTCCCACTGTGACATATCGAGTGCTTTGATAAAATTATGGAACGCAATGACTGTACAAGACATGGTGGCATATTGCTCCGGTTGTCTCATTTTCGTCAGTGACAAACGTATAGGCTAGCTAGTTCGCGTATAATAGCAGACGGCAATCGGCGGCCTCAGTAGGTGTTTTCATTTCATTTCATTTATTTATTTAAGCACGGTCACTCTCACAGCCTATCGGTTGATTTTCAGAAAGTCCGTGACTGAATAAAAAATATACAAATTATATCACAAAACAAATTCCAGTAACAAAGACAACAAAACATAAAAATATGTAAAATAATCGAAACAAAACAACAACAAAAAATAAACAAAGAAAACATGAATTATTATAATGTACAAAATAAAAATTAACAATAATGAATAAAAAGTAAATAATTAACAGAGAAGTGTATTGTAAACCGAGAGTCTGATTGACTCTCCTCCCAAGGGTCAGCCCCCCACCCCACACCCGCCCCTACCTAGGTGGTGACATGATCTGTTTTCTAAAAACATTTTTATTCTCTATGGATTTCAGTTCCTGTAAAATTGTGTTCCAGCATTTCGCTCCTTTATAACTTAAACTCCTTATTTTATAATTCGTTTGGCTTTTAGGTAAACGCAAAGTTATGAAAAGAGTGTCGGGTATTATACACAGGGTTGTGCTTTTCAAAGAAATGTAAAATAGGTTTTGGTGCATTATTATAAAATATTTGGTGCATAACTATTAATGTCCTTTTTTTAAATCTTTCTAAAATGTTATCTAACTTCAAAAGTATGAACAACTGATCTGTTGGGAATCTTGGGTCTTTCCTTAAAACAGTTTTTAGCGCTTTATTTGGTAAAGTTTGAAGTTTTCTTAAGTTCGTAACCCCTGTATTTGCATAGACTATATCACAGTAATCAAAATGACATTGTATCATGGATTTATAAAACAATTCCGCTTGGCGTTGTGTAATAATCGGACGAATTCTCCTTAACATATACAATTTAAACAAATTTTTTCTTCTTATTTCGTTGATATGTAGGTTCCAACTTAGATTCTCGTCTAGAATTACGCCAAGATACTTACACGATGAAACTCTCAGAATGGGTATACTCTCTACTAGTAAATGTATATTAGGATCAAGTCTGTTTAACTTACTCCTGGTTCCTACGACAAGAAACTCACATTTCTTAACATTTAATTTAAGTTTGTTGCATTTTAGATATTCACATACGGATTCTAGGTCTTTGTTTAAAGTCGTTGTCAACTCTTGAACATTGTTACTACTGAAATATAAACACGTATCGTCAGCATACATTAATACCTTAGAATGCTTCACTGCAGTTGGTAGATCGTTCACATATATTGAAAATAGCATGGGTCCTATGATAGTACCTTGCGGTATTCCGCATGTAAGTTCCTTAGTATTCGAGCTTATACCATTCATTGTAATAAATTGCTTTCTCCCTATTAGATAACCTTCAAACTATTTGGTGACTTTTTCAGACATACCGATGAAACGTAATTTTTGCAGAAGGATGTGATGATCAATGCAGTAAAATGCTTTTTGTAAATCGAGCATAACAATCCCTGTTGTGCACCCTTTGTCTATATTATCAAATAGATCTTCTGTGATATTTAATAGACAAGTGTAGTAGTCGTTGAGTGCTTTGGCCGAAAACCTGACTGATTATCACATAGTAAGTTATTGTCATTTAAAAATTCATATATCTGCTTGAAAACAATCTTTTCTATCACTTTGGCTAGTACTGGAATAACCGATATTGGTCTGTAATTGCTTTTTTCTTGTTTATCTCCCTTTTTATATATGGGAGTTACACGTGATATTTTCCATTGAAGCGGAACAATTCCTTGAGTCAAAGACATATTTATAATATGACACATTGGTTTGGCAATATATTGAGAAATCATCTTTATAAACAATGCTGGGATCTCATCTGGCCCTGTAGCCTTTTTGACAGAAATTTCTTTTAATTCCTGTAAAACAGTGCTTTCGGCAACATCGGC